GTGTGTATCAATTTCCAATGTTGGATCCCAATGTGGGTCGCCCTCCAGAAAAGGAGGAAGATGCGGATGAGGTGGAAGATCAGGTGGTAGATGATGGTGCTGGTGTTGGAGAATGGTTAGGCGATGCAGTCGCTAACTTCGAGGAGGAAGACTCTGCACCGGTGGAACCTGCGCCAGTTCTGGAGGCAGAGGTGTTGAAAATTCAAGCTTCTGAAAAATCCTGGAAGGAACTGAAGGACCACTTGACCCAACCGGTCCGTATGATCAACTTCGTTATGGTGGAGCCGATTGTGGACAAACAGCAAACAACTGTTTTATCGGCAGTTCAAAGAATGATGGTGCGCTTGCAGAGACATGGGTATCCGGTGTTGAGAATCCACTCAGATCGAGCGGGGGAGTTTGTCAATGCACGCTTCCGGTCCTTTTGCGAAACTCGTCTGATATATAGGACCACTGGTGATCCTGGAGTCCCGCAAACAAATGGGCGCGCTGAAGCATGTGTGGGTTTATTCAAACGTGGTGTTAGGTCGCTCTTAAAGGAGGCGCGACTCGGGCCGGCGTACTGGGCACTGGCTGCTCGCCATTGGTCAATGTTACGGTGGCAGAAAGCTGAAAGGGAGTTGGGGTTGAATCCTAAAGCATTGCTTCCCTTTGGTGCTCAGATTCAAGTCAAACGTCGTCCGTGGGAGTTGCTGGGTCCGGATGGAACAAAGAAAGGTCGGCAATGGGTCGATCGTACGCAGCCTGCACTTCTTTTGGGTCCATGCGATGACCTACCTGGTGGTTATTGGGTGGAAGCTCAAGGGACTGCAAAAGATCCGGATGAACTGGTGTTATTTCCCTGCACTACGATTTTTTCCAATATAAAGAACCGCCTGAATTGGAGCTGGAAGGGGTGGTAGAAGAACAGGAGCCTTCTCCTCCAGAGCATCGTCTCAAGGGGAAAAAACCGGCGCTTCGGTTCGCTGATGAGGAAGGTCCTCCTTTACCTCCGCCTCGCGATCCTCCAGTTCGTCATCGGTTAATGAAAAAAGCCCGGCCTCTTCACTGCGTGGTCATGTGGGCTCCTTGCGCTTGCTTCGCAAGCGGGGGGAGAGTCCGCCCTTAGAAATTTTCGAGGATGACATGCAGGGTCTGGGGGAGCTGGAAGAAAATGCAGATGTTGAGGACAATGTTCCTGGTGATGAGTATTGGCCGACTTGCTGTTCTCCTCATGAAAATGCTTATTTGGTCTGCAAAAGTGAGACTGCTGAGGATGGAACACAGTGGGAAAAAGAAGAGCAAAAAGCCAAGTCAATGTATGAAAGGTCTATGTATGATTACGTGGACTGTGAGGAGCTTTTGGAAGGGATTGTATACCCAAAGAGGGTGAATCGAAGAGGTGGTATCAACAATTGGTGTACAAGTACGCGAGCTCTGGTGTTGGGCCACTATACTCATGGCGGAGTGTGTGGTATCACAAAAGAGACTCATCGAAGACCATGGCTATGTCGTTATTTGACATCATTCGTGAGGCACCACAATCCTGAAGCCAAATTTTCTGCTCTTCAGATCTCGTGCAATGCTCCGGTGTCATTGCATAGGGATAGTCACAATGAAAAACATTGCTGCAATTATGCGTGTGGCTTTGGTGACTATAAAGATGGTCAGCTGTGGGTTGAGGATGAAAAGGTTTTAGAGGAAGGAGCTGAAGTGGTGGAGCAATCCTATGGGAAGAAAGTCCTACCTGGAAAATTGGTGGATATCCACTGGAACTTCATGTCGTTCTTTCCGAGAAAGCTGCGTGGTCCTATGCCTTGGAAAGGGAACAGGGTATCCTTGACAGGGTACACGCCTGTTTTTATGGAGCGTTTGGGCTACAAGGATAGATGCTATCTTCTCCAATGCAAGTTTCCTCTTCCAGAACCACAAGCTGAAGAAGGTGAAAAAAGGAAAAGGTTAAAAATGACGTTGAAAGAAACCTCGCTGGACGACCTTGCAGAGGAAGTCGACTACGCTGTGTTCGAAGCGCATCAATGGGCTCTAGAGGAGCATTTGAGTATTCGACGCCTAATTGCTGAACAGGAATGTTGCATCTTGGACGAGTTCCATGGATCGGCCAATGAGTCGAGTGAAGAAAAAGGATCAGAGACTAGAGAATGGCTGGTTAAAGCAAAAAGGGCTGAGGAACAGCTATCGAAGTTTTTGGTCAAAGCAGCTCAAGTTCAGCAAATGGTACAAGAAAATACCGCGCTTGAGGCAGCAGAGGAGGTTGAGTTCCTGCAAACAAAAACAATCCCTACACAAGAAGCCATGCAAGAGCTGGAAAAGTGGAGGGAATCATTGTCGGACGAGGTGACGTCTTTGGTGAAAGAGTTGGAGGCGGTGGAACCAACAACTCAAGAAAAGCTGGATAAATTGGCGGAAGAGCCTAATGCACCAGTGATTGAGTACGTTCCCAGTCTGGTGGTGTTTACCCGGAAGCAAGGGACAGGGAGACGACGTGCCCGTATCTGCGCATGTGGAAACTTCATTTCGTCAACGGCAGCTACAGAATATGAAGGGCCGAGGTCACTTAGTCGTCACTCGCTGTACGCTCCAGGTTTAGATTCAACCACATTCAGGTGTCAAGTGAGGCACGCAGCATATATGGTGTGGATCATCGCTGGCTTAGACATTTCCAAAGCTTTTCTGACGGCGCCGATGAATAGGGCGCAAAGAGAAGGGCGTTTGGTGGTGGTGCAGCCCCCAAGGGCGGCGGTGAAATTGGGTCTTTGCACAAAAGAGGAGCGGTGGATTGTGAGAAAGGCCTTGTACGGTTTGGCCGAAAGTCCTGCAGCATGGGTGGAGTGGCGAGACCAACGTCTTCAAGGTATGTCTTGGGTGTCAAAGGATGGACAAGCAATGAGCTTTCAGAGGTCCAATGCAGACCCAAGTCTGTTCCTTATTATGGCGCAAGAGAAGTTGGAAGGTGCAAGCAAGTTGGTAGGGACAATGGGTCTTTACGTGGATGATTTTTTGATGGCTGGGACTATGACAGTGCTCCGGGAGGCCTTGGAACAGATTAGGAAGGAGTGGAAAACTTCTGAACCCGAGTTCTGTGGTCCAGGCTGCGGTGATGGATTCCTGAAGTTTTTAGGTGTCCAAATCTGGTATCGAAATGGCAGCTTCTTTCTTAAGCAGGAGGACTTTGTGAGAGATTTGCTGAACCGACGAGGGTATCAGATCGATGAAACTGGAAAAGGGAGTAACCTGCCAATGGTGAAAGAAACTCCAGGTGAAGAAGAGGAGGTGGATATTCCTTCCTTGCGAGCGGCACAAGGTGCCGTAGGGGAGTTCCTCTGGGTGGCAATCAAAACTCGACCTGATTTGGCGTTCTGCACGAGCCAGTTGTCTTTGTGGACATCCCGAAGGCCGCGATTTGTGGTTAAAAAGGCTGAGGAGGTTTTCCGATACCTTGCTGCAACTCCAACGTTAGGCTTGACGTTCGGAGTAATCGCAACATGCGAAAAAGAAAGAAATGAGGTGTTGCGTTATGGACGTGGCGTTAAGGTGGTGGAGTCCTACGCGGATGCCAGCTTTGCAGCGGGTGAAAACGAAAAGAGCCACTCAGGAGCGGTGGTGGTGTGGGGTGACTGTCCAGTGATGTGGGCAACACAAAGACAATCAACGGTGGCTTTAAGTACAGCTGAAGCTGAATTACATGCGTCCATAGAGGGAGCAACGATGATTCAGTCGTGCACCCCTATAATTGCCGCTTTGGTTGGAACAGGTGAAGAATCGCTGCAAAAAGTGCTGTATACAGATTCGGTTTCAACGTGCTCGATCATTCAATATCCTGCTGGAAGCTGGAGGACAAGACACCTGAGAATTCGAGCAGCCGGTGTCAGGTCTCTGGTGGACCGTGGTTATATGGTGATAGCGCATCTTCGCGGTGAGTATATGATCGCTGACCTGTTGACTAAGTTGATGAGTGGACAGGTGTACGCAAAGCAAAAGGCACTTTGGGGTCTCCGACTGTTGGTACAAGGGACTGACTTGAAAAAAGCCTCGTTTGCAATGGCGGTCATGATGGTGGCTGCATCTCTGCAAGGGATGGCAACTGGTAGCGAAGAAGTGTCAACTGCTGGATTCTTTTGCTCAGAAGAAGGGGTGTGCAAGGTTGCCAACACGTCTACGGTGATGGTTCTGGCTCAAGGTATTGAAATGGCTGTCAACAATTCAGACCTTGTTGCATATTTGGTGGCAGTAATTATACTCTGGGAACTGGCATGGTGCCTCTTTCGACGGCTGTATAAATGGCTGTGGGTCAAGAAAGCGGTGGTTATTCCTGCGAGTGCCACTTTGTATACAACAGTGGGTGGGAACTGTATGCACGCAAGCAGTGACTGTGATGTTCTGCGATATTCACAGCTCAGAGCTAAGACGCTTTGTAAGCATTGCCTCAAGGATGGCTGGGTGGTGAATGCTGAGTTCCTTGGTGAGGAACGGGCCGCTGGAACGTGAATTTTCCAAGTGCGAGGTGAAGAAATCCTCAATGGTAAAGGATTCAGCCAATGGGCTGAAGGTTCGTCCTGGAAGACGTTAAACCACAATGTGCATTTCAAGCAGCTGGCTGCTGCCTAAATGGCGGTTTTTGGCCAATGATCTGCACCTCCAATGTGTCCTAGGAAATCCTAGGACAGGGGGAGTGCGGAGCTGCAATTGGTATTGTAGAAAGGAGTTGGTATTGGAAGTTGAAGGGTCAATGAACCCGGTAATCTTTGGCTCAAGCCATGACCAAAGCGGTCAAAGGTTTCGTAAAAAGTGTGCCCTTGGTTTGGGGTCTTGTTGTTCGGTTGTTGGTTGCTCCAGGGGTATTAAGGGCTTCTGTTGGGGTTGACTGTTTTGTTCCTTGTCCTCCTTCGGTTGCCCCCCGTACCCTAAACCATCACGCGACTATAGTCCCTACTTAGGACTGAAACAGTCCTTAATAGGGGATTCTAATGGGGGGCTTCGTATCAGAAAAAACATCCCAATGTTCACCCGGGGCCTGGGAGCTGCGCAGTGACCTCGGTCATCTTCTTGACCTGGCAGGGGCTTCAGCGAGGAGGGCTTAAGACGGCTCAAGGGAGGCTTTTGGGCAGGGTTGAGGGACTATAGGGTTTGTAGGGCTTGTAGGGTTGCTAGCGCTTTTAGGGATTTTGACGTTTTTAGGGGTTATAGGGTTTAGGGTTGACGGCTCGGTTTCAGGAGCTTCGGGGCTCGACCAAAAGAATGAATAGGAGCTTCCAACCCACCAGAATGGGGAAGAAGCTTGAGAAGCCCTTGAACGAATGCTCCAAGACCTTCTAATCTCACACCCCCAAGGCCTACACCCTTACAGCTCCTTACATCGTCATCTAGGACAAATCCTCGGCGGGAGAGACAGAGAGATAGAGAGAGAGAGAGAACAACAGAGAGAGAGCCACGCCCTCGAAATCGACGAGCCAAAGCCCTGAGCCACGGAACCTTGAAGTTGCTGGGTGGAGGGTTCGGGGGCTCTGGATTGGGCTGATAAGTCCAGGGTGTAGGGAGCAGGGCTTGGCTTAGGGCTTGGGGCTTAGGGTTTCGGGCTTGAAGCTTAAAACTCAAGGCTCAGGCTTTGGGTGCGTTGCGGTGTCTTGCGGCCTCCTCCTCCGCTTTCACGACCTTCACCTCCACCTGGTACCCGCGGGAGCGGGAGAAGCCCGCTGCGTGAGGCCTATACAGTTTCGATTTAGGGTCTAGGGTACAACCCCCGAACCCCACACACTTTCCCCTAGGTCCCAAACCCCGAACCATCTCAACAAGAAGTACCCCATATACAATCCCTCTGAGCCTCTCTATGGAAGTCCTAGTTCAACATGCTCGGCCCAGCGAGGGCCTGAACTTGGGAGAACAGGACCGCTGGTTTCACAGGGTAGTCAACAAGGGAGCAGCCCTTCCAGCTGCTGAGTCTGACGAACTTGGGTGCCGGGTGCCTGCGGTCTTTCGGTAGTGATGTCTGTGTGTCCAGTGCTTGCCCCCGTCCCCTCCACCCACGCCATGTGGGCTATACCGAACAATCCTACTTGAACCGGTCAAACTCAGCATACGTACATGCAAATCTGCGAAAGCAAAAAAAGCGTTGAGACCAAAACAACCACTAAAGAGAAAGAGGCCTCCTCCAGCAAGTGGGACCGCTTCCGGTCTGCAATGCTCGCCCTGCAGTGCAGGGTTTGAGGGCATGCTTTCGGGTCCCTTCGGTTCAGGGCTCCAGGGGGGTCGCCTTGAGCCCCAAAGCCTAGGGGAGTTGAGGGAATCGAGGGGGGCGTAGGGAAGTCTCTGGTTGCCACGATCTCCATAAACAACCCAATGTTCGCGACTCCAACCGCCCGCGAACCCCCAGGCGTGGGCGCCTGAACTGCTGGAGACGGTCCCGGCCCTCCTCCAGGCGCTTCTGCAGCATGTCCACCTGAAGATGTTTTAGGGCTTCAATGAAGGTTTGGGGCGTCTTTGACATCGGGACCTGGGAGTTTGGGGGTTCGGCAGGGCCTTTGGGGATTTAGGGTTGGGAGTTTGGGGGCTTTGTGTTTGCGGGACTCGTGGTTTGGGATTGAGTTTGGAGCCCTGGCTTTAGGGTTTTGGGAGTTTCGGGCTTAGCATTTGAGCACTTGAGAGCGTTGCCTAAGAGTAGCGGGAAAGGTGCTTCTGGGATCTGTTCTTGCCTTGTTATGCTGCAAGCGGGGCGGTTGCGCACAGGCTTGCAGCTTCAGGATATCCGCCCACGGCTACAGTTCACCGATGAAGCCGACATCTGAACCTTCTTCAACCCTGAAACACGGACCCTCTACCAGGGTTTGGCATTCCTTGCGAATGAAAGCGGCGCAAACGGGTAGCGTTTTCTTGTGGCCGATGTCGATGTATTTAGCGGACTCTGAGAGCTATAGAACCGAGGGCCTAAGGCTTGCAGCTTAATGGCTTAGTTCTTGAGGGCACGCGAAGCCGAAACCCCAAGCCCGAAGTCTCAATCCTGCAAGATCGTTTAAACTCTGCTCTCACGAGGGTTTAGGGTGGCCTCCTCCCTGACAGTTTGCCCTGGTGCGTCGGAGAACTTCGCCACCTCCCGTGGGACATCAAGCTGGGAACACCACCAGATGATTGCAGGTTTCCAGATTTCTGCGGCATTTACTGTCTAGTCTAGCACTTTATATGGGTGCGCAACACTCCCACTCGCCCGCGAAAATGGCGATGCACGAATTATTCGGGTTTTCCATGCGTCGTGTTTGGGCTGAGGGTATGCTTCTCCCCTAGAATCGAACTCATCTGGTCCGTAGCTACCCCCTTTCCGCCGCTGAAACCCCCCCTCAACTTTCAAACCCTCCCCGCTCAACCCTCCGCCTGTAAAACCCGAAACCTCCTACAACTCCACTAAACCCCCTCAAAGCCCTTCTCAAACAGCCTCAACCTTCACGCCCGAATATTCCTGAACCCACAGACTACTCTGCCTCGACGAGCTTGCGGGCCACGAAGCTCTGCGCCTCCGCCAGCGCCGAGTGGACCTGGACCGCCACCTTCAAGTGACATGCTGGGGCAAATATTAGGCTTAATGAGGGTTTAAGAAATTGAGGAGAGCTGAAGAGGGCGTCTTCGGATAAACTACGGTCAATGTTCAAAGGTCGCACTTGCAAATGGGGTCCCCACATCCTCAGGCTGGGGGGGAGGGCGGGGGGCGGATTTCATATTTCTTGTTTAGATTTAGATACATAGGGTGATACGGGGATGAGAAGGGGATCATTTAAGCTTCGGCATCGGAACTGTGGAGTTCAGGGCTGGGGGCTCCGAAGGCTCCTAATATTTCCAGGAGCTTTCGCCGTCACTAAACGGCCCAAGGTCGATGGAAACAACACGGCGATGTTCATCGTGGTGCGCAGCTTGCAAACAAAAACAAGTCCAGTCCGGCTCCTGCTGCACGCTACGAAAGCATCGCGTGCGCCGCATCGCGTAATGGCAAGTCTTGGCAGGCTAAGGAAGCATGCGCGGCATGCCCTTTGAGGGCTTGGGGCACTTACACCACCCGGATAAAAACAGAAAGCCTGCAATCCTGACGCATCCCAGGCTCGCCTTGTCTGCCTCCAAGAACAGCGCATCCAGATCCTGGCACCAGTCTTTCAAAAACCTTGTACATCCGGGCTCATTGCTGCCGGGATAGCGCTTTGTATGCTCTTAGAGCTGTAGAAAACGCACCGAAGTTGGTAACAATGAGACGTGATGCCTACATTGCCTTTACACAGTTCAACCTTGTCCTGTGCTCTGCTGACTGCGCTTCGCCAATTTCTAAGTAAAGCCTGGTAATCCGGGAATGTGCCACGGAGCGATGGTCACGCAGGTGTCGTAATCCCTGGAGTGGGGGTGGCTCAGCTCAGCTACTCCTGTGGACCCCTTCTCCCACTGCATCTTGCTGCCGTGGCCCACGGTCATACGAACTATGAGAGCATGCCACGCCAGTGTGACAAAGCTTCTGTTGAGTAGGCACAGAGATCGCGTGGCTCTGCCACGTCTGCCATCTTTGCCACTGCAGTCAACAACCGCCACCGGATCTCTGACCCTGACGAGAACTTCTGAAGAAGCTCGTTGCTCAGGACATCTCAGGACTCGTCACGGTATGACACTCCTCGTCTTTCACAGTCACAGGACTGTGGGCGAGTCCTTTGTCACGAAACGTTTCGGTCTCAACGCCCAAGGCCTTGTACAAACTGATTTTGACTGGCCTTGCTTGGCCTGGACGCACAAAGAGCATGCCAGGGATGATGAAAAACGACATCGTTCCCACTTCGCTTGGCAACTCTGATGGCCAAGGCGGTGCAAGCGAGTACTTTGCGCTCCATACAACACCTACAGGAAACCTCCAACACTCTCAAAGGAGCTGCACATGTCATCAAGGCTGTCGGTTGATTTCTGGCCCCCTCCTCTGGCAAGATCTTCGCTGCTCGTCTCGGTAGCCCCAGCCTAAACTCGAAGCCTCAATCTGAACCCTGAACCCCTAACCCTAAACTGCTGAGGAAGCCCGTAGCGTCCTGGTCCTTGTCGCTGCGGAGGAAGGGCAGCTCCTCGGCAGGTCAGGCCAAGATCTTAGGGAGAAAGTTCCTTTAAAAGGGCACTGGCTTGTGCTTGGGTTCAGCCTCGGCCGTTTTGGGGGCGAAACCGTGACAGCAAACCCTAAACAACCCCCCGAGACCCTGCATAACCCAAAGACATCTTCGAAACCGAACATTAACAAAACCCAAAAGAAGCCTTGCGAAAAGAGGATAGCCAGAAATCGTCTTCAAGGAACCGCAAAATCTACGTATATCCCTCGCACCCAGAAACCCTTGAAGAGCCCCTGGTTGATATAAACCCTCGCAACCGAAAACCTCACAAAGAACCCCGAACTCCTTCCTCGGATATAGGGTGTAGGGTTTAGGCTTTTTGTTGGCTTTTTGGCGGTTGTTAGGGTGTTGAGGGGGTTTTTAGCCTTTTAAGGGCTTTTTAGGGGGTTTGTGGGGCTTCCTCATGATGAGCTTAGGATCCGCTTCTGCCATCTTCTGGAGCTCGTCCTCTGCGAAGGCGACCTTGTCCGAGACCTCTCCAGGCAAGAGGGGTTTTTTGGGGTGTAGGGTTTAGAGGGTTTAGGGGTGGTTTAGAGGGTTTAGAGGGGCTTAGAGGGCTTAGAGGGGTTTAGAGGGTTTAGAGGGTTTAGAGTGTTTAGAGGGTTTAGAGGGTTTAGGGGTGGTTTAGGTTTGGGACTGTCAATTGTGCTTGCCATTCAGCTGAGAAACGTAGGGTAACCCTAGTAGCTGTGGCCAGATTCCGATATTTGGTTTACCGCAGAGGCATATGCCGTTCTTCAAATGCTATAGTACTGCCAAGGAGGCACCAAATCACCCCAGCTCGAACCCTTGTGTGGGGGAAATATTCTCGACGAAGTTCGGAATCTTGGGGCCCCAGTAAGATTTGAATCTGGCCGGAACCATCGGGGCCTCCGCTGATTCCCGTACCATATCCGCTTGAAGAGATGTGATGTGCAGACTCTGCACGCACTTGGACTGCCCTCACCCTGATACTGAAACCAAAAAAGGTCTTATAGTACATTCGGGGCCTTTCGTTTGGAGGGGGGCGGGGGTAAACCCTACGCTCCTCAAGCTTGGCAGCCTTTCAGGTCTGGAGCGGCTCAGCCCATCTTACAAGGATGGAACCTTACTTCGTCATGCGGCCCACTACACATGCTTTCAGGCATATTCAGTATATTCCCGAGCGAAGAGGCAGTCCCCAAACCCTACGGATCCTAGAGCTCTACATCCGCCTCCTTCATCAGGGCGTCAGCGGCCATGCGGACCTCCAGATACGTCAGAATTCAGGGGCTGGGGGGGGGGGGGGTTCAGGAGTTGACTGGTGGGATTGTCGGGTTTCCTCATACCCTCGAAACGTTTAGAGGCCACTGAATTCTCAAGGCTTCAGGGCCCTGACCCCCCAAACCCGAAACCCCTAAAGGCTCCAAAGCCAAGCCTGCGTCTCTTTGAGGCTTCGCCGAACTTCATCCAGCTTCTCCTCTCAATCCCCAACTAAAATCTCGGAAGCCCATTGAGGCCCCTAGACTCCAGGCCTACAAGCTTCAACCATTCACATTATTCACAGACCAGGGTTCCGGAGCTCAAGAAGGAGGGAGGTTTAAAGATCATCCCCATAATTGCTGACCGGCGGGCTGGCTCTTTGAAAGAACTGGGCTCCAAAGCATTTGGCTTGAAAACTGCGGCCATCCACCCCACGGACACAACCTTTAAACCCCGAACACTATAAACCCCGAAACCGACAACTCTCCCACGCAAACCCCCTGATTCTTCCCTGCTCTCCTGGGCCAGTTTGCCCCGCTCCTGCATCCCCTGAAAGGAGGAGACGCGGGGTTGCTCCAAAGTCAGAGCTTAAGGTTTCGGGGTGCGCAATACATGCATCTTGTCATCGAGCCGCGGAACACCGGCAACCCCTCTACAGTCAGGCGAGAGATCAAGGGTGAGAGTGCGTAAAAAAAAGGCCTGCGGATATTCAAGGTAACCCCCCCCCCTCCCCCCCCCCCTCCCCCCCCCCCCCCCCTTCACCCAACAAAACCCCCTCCCCCTCCCCCCCCCCCCCCCCCCCCCCCAAGAAAGGGGGGGGGGGGGCCCCCCCCCCCCCATGCTCAATTCCACATTTCCTCTGCCATGTTTGGTAGGATTCCTATTGCTTTTATTCGGAATCCTTCTAATTTCAAGAGGATTTCTATTAATGTAACAAGATTTCTATTTGCCTTCTTTTTTCGTAGCATTTCTAATCGGACTTCTACTAATTTTAATAGCAGTTCAATCAATTGTAATAGGAGTTGAACTTAATTCGACAAGGATTTCTATTATTTCAATACGAATCCCGTTAAACCTAATACAAATCTTATTAGAAGGGATAAAAATCTCATTCATATTATTAGAAATCTTTCAAAAGTAACAAAAACCCGATTAGAATCAAAAGAAGTCCTATTAAAACGTTAATTAAAATCAAGTGAAACCCTATTAAGAACACTGTTATTGACCAAGGGGGGGGGGGGGGGGGGGGGCCCCCCCCCCCCTTGAACAAGAGGGGGGGGGGGGAGGGGGGGGGGGGGGTTGAACAAGAGAAGGGGGGGGGGAGGGGGGTGGGGGGGGGGGGCTGGCTTATGTTCCCGCAGGCCGCAGTGGCGCGCACTATCGGGTCAAGGGGTCGCATCCTGTGGCATGCCGACAAGGAACACCCCCCAAGGCTTTGCTCTTGTGCACCCCTAGGTACACCGGCAACCTCCAAGCCGCAAGACTTTGCTTTTGAGCCTTCTCAAACCCCACACACTCGAATCTTTCTTTTTCCCTGAAACCCTCGACCCGGAAACCCCTATCGGAAACCCCTATCGGAAATCAACAGCCCCGCAGAAGTTCTGTTCAAGGGACGAGGTGAGGTTTCTTTCTTAAGACTTGCCCTACTGGGGAACCCGTAAGCCCTTATGAAATCCCTTCAAGCCCCTTAAACGCTAAACCCTAAACCCTAATGTTGACTTCACATTAGTGATTCCCGCCGCAATTGTAAAATCCCGCTGCCGGAACACAATAGTGTAGCCCGCCACAATTGTAAAATCCGACCCGGGAAATCGGTTTTTACGGGCGTGGTGCTACTACCTAATACTAAAACTAATAGTACGTCCTACCAGGATTTAGGCGAACATTATTGAGGAGGCCCTGGCCGGAGAGATTGATCAATGAAGGGGGGGGGTTTATTAATGCGAAGTCAACATTAACCCTATAAACCCCTAAACCCTAAACCCCTAAAGCCTATAAACCCCCAAACCCTATAAACCCCAAACCCTACAAACCCTAAGCCCCAAGCCCCCCGCCCCCCCCAAGTGGGCCTGGAGCTCGGAAACCAGCACTTCGTTCGACTTCTCCGCCAGGCGCAGCTTGGAGTCTACCTGCCGGTTCCTGGGGCGCTTCTCCGAGGAACGTCTCTTGGGGTTTAAGGGTTTAGGGTTCAGGGTTCAGGGCCCAGGGCTCAGGGTTTAGGTTCAGGGTTCAGGGTTCAGGGTTGAGGGTTTAGGGTTTTGGGTTTAGGGTTAATATGGCGTTTGGGGTGGGGTTTAAGGGGGGCGCTTAGAGGGTTCGAGCTTTGGGCGTTTAGAGGTTTATTCTGCCGTTAGGTCCTTATGGCCGAAACCCCAAGGGGCCTCTGCCGCATTTTTCGGGTTTAAACTGCTCACGCCCCTCTCCCAAACCCTGAGCCCCAAGAATCCGGGACTCATCAAAAACCATGAGCCCTGGATCTTACACAAGCCCAAAACGCCCGAGAACCCTGAACCGCAAGGTCGCTCTCCTTGGGAAAGCTGCTGCGAGTCCCCCCCAAATTCGTCCAACGCCCCGAAGAACCCTTGGCTTGCCGGGCCCAGGGCGTCTGCGCCAGCAGCGACTGAGCAGTCGCCAGGGCCGCCTCCGTCTCCTCCCAGGCGCTTGAGGGTTTAGGGTTTAGGGCTCTAAGGCTTTGGGGTTGTTCCCTTTTCAGCTGGGCTCGTTAAAGACCGCCTTTGGGCACACGGATTCCAGCTGCCGTCTTTCAAGGGTCCCAGGATGCGGGGAGCTTCCAAACGAATCCCCCTGTATCCCCCCGCATATTGTCGATGTTAAAGGGCAGCGAATCCTTGACGCCTTCCGGGTTGTCTCCACCAAGTGGAGCCGTCATCATCGCGGCCTTCTCCACCTGGGCAGCAAGGCGACGCTGAAGGGGAGAGCTGCTGTACTCCGAACAGCTTGTAACAGGGAATGCTGGCAGGAGCCTCAGACCAACCCAAGCTGTGCCGGGGTCCGAGCTTCGATCTCTGCACTGGCCAGCTTGCTGCTGAGCTCCTCCAGCAGCCTCAGTCGGACTTCGAAGCTCGAGGCCGTTAAGAAGGTTCTTTTGGTTTAGGGCATTCGGGCTGAGGGCTCCTGGGGCTTGGGAGCTATGGAGTGAACGCACTTGAGGGTTCAGGGTTGAGGGTCTACTTCTCGGTTCATGGGCCCGCGTGCCATGTATGCACTACGTGGGGATTTCTGGGCGACCCCACTTCTTCGACTGCGCGCGCTTCTCGTAGTCCTGTGCTCGAAAGAAGTCAACACAGGGTTGCAGCACGAAGCACCGGCAAGAGTCCAAGAGCCCTTGCACGCAGTCGGCCGCCTGTCGGGCGGACTTGTAGGGGTTCAGCCTGCCAAGGCAGTTGCCATGCTGGGTCCACGGTGGAGATGGGAGGTTCTTGTGCAACCACACAGCAGGGACCCTTAACCACCTTGACCAACAAACCTCTGCGAATCAGTGATCCAGATCAGACGAGCTATGGATCTCATGTCCAAAAATGCAGCCGCGTTCACCCGCCTCTTCTGAGCTTCTCCCAGCTTCTCCTCACGACGGCTTGGGGCCGAAAAATCTTACGGACCGCATAAACCCATTCCCTACAATCCCGAAAAACCCCAAGCCCTTTATGTAATCCCGGGAATGACTGTAACCCCCGTCATCCCTGTCATGGAGCCCTGAAGCCAGGAAAAGCCTCCAACCCTCGAAGCTGCCGCCTGAACACCGAGTTCCCTCGAAGGAAAAGCCAAGTTGCAGAGGAGGAGAGGAGGAGAGGGTTTCACAGGATTTAGGGTTCTCTGCCCAAGGACAAGGTTGATGGCGGGGTGGATAAGGGACAGATGCTGATGTGGGGCTTACAGGGGTTTAGCTTCAGGATGCTTGAAGGGGCATACTCATTCCAGGGCTGGAGGACCAGGCAACAGGTCACCCATGAAGAGCTTTTGGACCCAGGACCGCTCGGATCCTCAGTTTGGGGATCCAGGGTCTCCGATATCTTAGGGGTTTTGGGGCTTGGGGGCCAAGGTTTCGGGCTGCGCCTGGAGCCCGGAGAACTCCTCGATCGCCTGCTTCTTCACAGAAGACCTTGGGGGCAGGGCTTTGTTTTCTCAGGGCTTCCGGGTGTAGGGTTTAGAGTGTAGCACCACCAAAAAAACGCAAAGCGCAAGCTGCTGACAGGGGCCATTGCCAGTCAAACCATTTCTGATGTACGTTGAGGAGCACAAGCAGTGGAACCAGCAGGACGTAGGAGGCTCGGAGAGGAACCATGGAGGGGGTGTGCCGCAAGCTCCTAGGTTTGAAGAACTCACTCCCTGAATTGCCCGCCGTCTTCGTCGAATGCGAATGCCTGCCGGGCAATCTCTAAGGCTGCGACGTGAAGCGGCCAACCTGCAAGCAGAAGTGCGGCTGAAACCACATCCTCCACCCCAAGCCCTTGAAACCCCAAGCTTCCCCGGACCCCTCAACTGGGAAACACAAGGGCTTAAGGCTTTAGTGGGTTTAAAGGGTTTATTTAGGCAATACACTTCAAGACCCAAAGCGTGCGTGGCAAATGGAACTTCAGCGGCCCTGTAAGCAGCTGCAAGCCCTCAACCTCGTCACACAAGACGTGTCACGCCACGCCTGGGAGAGCTTGCCGGAAAGGAAGCGGCGCGCCTGGCCAGGGCTTTTCAGGGCTCTTAGGGCTTCGGGTACCCTAACCCCCTAAACCCCCTAAACCCCTAGAGTTTGGCGTTCAGGCTTCTAGAGATACTCTGGGGTTCAGAGTGTCTAGCAGCTCGAAGAGATCAGCCCGACCAGGGACTGACAGTCAGAGGCAGAATAAGCATGTACGCATTAGGGGCTGAGGGTTGAGGGAGGGTAGAGAGGGAGAACATCGGCATCCCATACCCCACTCCCCAAGAACCACTTCTTTCGACGGTGGTCCCGCGGCGCCGCCCCTGCTCTTCATAGACAGAAGGCGGCTTCTTGAAGGGAGCCGGGCTACCAAAGGGAGCCACGGAGCATACTCAAGCAACTCCGTGCTCCTGGCCAGTGTCCTGACCTAACACCCTTATTAATGTCTGAAAACCCACAACCCCTAGAGCCGTAAAACCCCTAAAGCCACTAAACAACCTGCACCCTTCAATGACGGGCTGTGTGAGACATGCATGTCGGCGGCCGAAACGCCTCCTCTTCGCCGCGGGTCAAAAGACTCTCCATGTCCCGTGCGGCCCTATCAAAGCGATCTCCAAGCCCCCTTGGGCTGAGAGTTTTCTAGAGCTTAAGGGTTTCTAGGGCTCAAGGGTTTACAGGGTTTGTGGGGTTTCTAGGGCTTCTGGGGCTTCTAGGGTTTCAAGCGAGGTGTGCGGGGGTCTTCAGGGTTTGCGGGGGTCTGAGCTTCGGGCTGAGCAGCCACCCTAACGCCCCCTTCTCACTCCATGGGGTTGAAGATGAATCTGCGCAGGCTTCCTGTCTCGTCAACTCGGATCTGCACCTCGGCCACACCGGAGGTATCCGATCAAGGGTTCGGACTTCGGGCTACCCTACCTGTCTACCTGGAACAGGACCTTAGAAAGGGGAACCTAGAAATCTAGCGGCTACCACAGGTTTGCCTGTCTCCTCAGTGCAGGCACACCCCAAGCCCGACACGAACCCGCAGAGCCGAACCCCCACTTGAGCAGCCGCAAAAACATCTTATGTAAGTGCAAATTAAAAATTCATGAAGTATCGCTTTTGGGTGGGGGGGGGCTATCGCTTTATGGAACTTTGGCTCCTGGAACCCTCCCCTACATACACCTGAATTCCTAAACTATAGACAAAGAGTGCGAGTGCTCCTTTTCTAAGCCGGAGCTCTCGCTGCTCGAATCAGAAATCCAAATGCTAAACTTCGAACCCTCAACCTGGGCCAGGGCCTTTGCCCAGCTCTTCGGGTGGCCAAATGGGTATCGTAGGGTATCGCTTTGCGTATCGCCCTGGAATCACGAAATCAGGACATTGTTGCAGCATGACTTCTAGATTCAAGATTGAGGGTATCGCTTTTGGGGGTCCTATCGGGCCTATCGCTTTCCGAGGTTTTAGGCATGAACGTGGATTATTATCTTCGCCACAAGAAACCTCTTGCAACGTAGTGTAACAGTGGTCGCTCATTTCACCCCTTTCGAAGCAGGGTTTGGGGGGTTTGCTGTGTGGACTCTTGGCCTAGGGCCACGCACAAGTTCAGAAGGTGCAGGGAAGAAAAGTCTCGCCCAAGAGTCTCTGAGGTCGGCAAGGTTCGGAAGCTCTGATCACCCTGCAGGCCCATAGCGTCTAAGGATTTTGGGGCTGCAGCCAGCGTCTGAGGCCCGCGCAACCATGTTTACCGTCATGACCTGGCCGCTGAAGCTGCCGGCTTCAGAATCGGGCGCTTCTCAGGGGGCGGGCCATGTGATGACCCATGGAGAGACCTTGAACAGGAAAAAGCCTCTCAAAGAGAGCTAGCTGGGGCCGTTGGGGTGTTAGAGTGCCAGGTATTTTGGGAAACCCCCATATTGTGTGGGGTCAGTAAGGTCTGGGCCAGGCGGCAACGAATATTCTGCAGGGCTCAGGGCTCCAAGGGCTCTGCCGGTTGAGAGTTCAGATCAAACCTTTAAACTCTCATCTCCGGACCCACCCCGGCCTCCTCGCCGGCGGGCCCCGTTAAAGTCAGGGCCAGGAGGCCATTGCTCTGCTGCCACACAGCCTGCCGACCCCCCGCACACCCGAAACTCTTTGAAGAGGTTCAAGGCTTCGGGCTTTAAGCCAGGGTCCTTCTGAGGCTCGGTGCTATGGAAGGGTACTTCAGATAAGAGCAACCTTCGATGTAATCCTTCCCAAACCTTGGCTCAGGAAGTCTGGGGATGCACAGGCTTGGGCTTGAGGCTTGGGGCTCTTGAAGCTTTGAGGACCCCAAGAACGGCAAACACGACAGGATGTTCTGCGGAATACGTAAGCCTGTCAACACAAGCATCAACACGCGAACACATACACCAAATCATCTCTTCTCAAAAAAGCATGTCACCGACAGCTTCTTACGCATCTTGCGTTGAAAGAGGCCTTGGGTACCTCGTTGATGTCCAGGCCAGCGCCCGCGAAGGTCATCGCCTCCATCCAGGCTAGGCTTGGAGGGCTCCGGATGTGGGGTTCACTGAGAATTTAGGGCTTTGGAGGATGTGTAGGAGCCTTTTGGGGCTTAGGTTTTGTTGAGGATTTTGAGGCATTTTAGGTTTTCGCGTAACAGTTGCTTGCGCGCTCCTAGAACCCCAAAACTCGAAAAACCCCCCTACCTCTGCCCCGCATAGACCAGTAGAAAGACCCTTAGCCTTGGTAAAACTATTCCAACCCGAAAATAAACCCTACATCCCGGAAGCCATTATACAATTCCAGGGCTCCGGGCGTTATGTCCCGGCATGTAGTCGGCCACCTCGGTCGTTCCAAGGTCCACGATGACCCGCCGCTTCGAAGTGTCCACGACGTAGCCTGGGAGGTATCTTGATTCCGCCCCCATTGGCACCCCCTTAGACGAGGAGCCCACAAGGACGCAACTTCCATGCGGCCCCCCAAGCCCCCTAAACCCTAAAAAAGGAACCCGGCTGACCACCAAGCTTTGCAGGTTCGGAGGCTTCGGGCTGTTCAGTGCTTTGAGGTGCCGGCGAGTAATCATGAACCCGAACCTGCGCCGACCCAGAACCTAAAACCTTGAAACCCTCCAGCCTTAAACCCTAACACCCTTTAAGCCTAAAACTGCTGTCTGTGGCTGATTCATGCCTGAGCTTCGCACTTACACGCCAGCAGTACCCTGGGAGAGGCGTGTCCTCAGTACATGCTTGGAGCTTTCATTCTTCTGGGTTTAGGGGAATCAACTTCCTGAACTTCACTCACGTACCTGTCCCAAACCCTGAACCCTAATACCAGCCTAAACTCTGAAGCCTAAAGCTCCCGAAACCCCCTAATTAGAACCCACAACAAAACCTAAGCCCAGAAACACAAAAGCTAAGCCACAAACCCCCGCGCCGCCCACCACCCCCAACCCTGAGCCCCGACTGCCCAACCACCCAAAGCACCAAACCCGCAAGCAGAGCCTCAAAGACCCGAACCCTCCAGCTTGCCTGAACCCTTAGGCCCTCGCCCCTGAACCTTCAGAGGCTTCCGAGCTTGGCGCCGCAAGCTTATGGTGCCTAGGGAGTTTGAGGGGGTGGGGGGAGGAGCGTTTTCGGTTTTAAGTTTTGGGTTTAGTTTAGGGTTTACGGCGCGGCCCCTTGCAAGCTCAGGGGCTGTGGTGAAGCCAATGGCCAGGCCGAGGCCCTCCTGCCCCAGCGGTTTGCAGGGAGGCCTACAGACATATTGATCATATCGACGTTCCATCTGGCTGAAAGGGGTAAGGGGCCTTTTGCGAGCGCAATGATGCTACTTTTATTCTGTGGGTTGCTTCGTACAACTTTCCTTTGTCTTTTCTCTTATACATTAAAAACCCCATTAATACTAAACAGTATAAGCGCCAAAAACTCTATTCATTAAGGACTCTTACGAATAGTTACTAATATTTATGCTGGCGTGCGAATAGAGTAGTAAAAGCCGCACGCACATTCTCTTCATTGTGTTCACCCATTTATGACTTTCAGACGTCTTCAAGGGTACCAAGGGTACTGCAAGGATACAGAAGCGACATTGAGAGGACGCCTTGGAAACCGTTCGTGTTTGTTTGTCGAAACGAGCGTTTCGCCTAGGCGAAGTGCTCGGTTTTAACATGCACTGTAGCTCCCTCCTGCAAGAAAAGACACTTTTCGCACTGCTTCGCATGAAGTAGGTGTAGGTCGGGGCAACGGAGTCAGCTCGACGCTTTCCCCTGGACAACAAGCTGGTACTTCAAAAGCTGCGAGGCCAAAAGCGGCCGCCCAAGCAGCTGTAACTCCAAACTTCCCGGGAGGGTGGGAGGGCCAAAAGAAGCTGTCGTTGCATCGTGCATGGTAAGACATGCACTGTAGCTCCCTCCTGCAAGAAAAGACACTTTTCGCACTGCTTCGCATGAAGTAGGTGTAGGTCGGGGCAACGGAGTCAGCTCGACGCTTTCCCCTGGAAAACAAGCTGGTACTTCAAAAGCTGCGAGGCCAAAAGCGGCCGCCCAAGCAGCTGTAACTCCAAACTTCCACCATACCTCAAGGGGCCAGCTTGGCGAGAGCTAAGCGCGCCCGAGAACGCGCACGTAAAGCCGCAGGCAAGCAGAGCTGGTCTCGGACTAAGCACCACGTTTACGTTGTGAAGAAAGAAAGGGGTAGAGGTCGGCGGCCATCTTCACCTTCCTGGACGCAACCTCTCCAAGCGAGCCGAGGGCTGTGACCGCGGCCAGCTCCTGGATATAAAACTCCAGGGTGTGTTGGTTTTTGAGTCTCATACGAAACTGCAGTTCACTGATGCCGAGGCCTTGGCGATAGGCTTCGACAGCTCCTCCGCCTCGGAGCCCACCGGGGGAAAGACCAACGGTGGGCTCAATCGAAAGGCGCTTGAGGAAGATGTTCCAGCGGTATCTGAAAGCGGAGGGGCTTTTGAGATAAAGCGGGTAGCTTGCCTCCTTGCCTCCATAGATCACCTCGAGGAGGGCTATGGCGTCTGCATCCGTGATCCGCAAGTGCTGTATCTGCGGTCTGCCCCGCCCAGATGTCTTTGAGCGTCGCAGCCTGAGGAAAGCGTGCTTGGCAGTAGCCCAAAGGTCGTCACCAGGCAACAACAGATCTTCACGGCAACAATGCAACACTTCTCCAACTCTCGCTAGACCATAGAAGGCGAGCACCAAGATTCCAGCAAACTGCTCGAAACCAGCCAAGAAGCTAAGAGCGACTAGCGCTCTCAGCACAGGCTCAGGAGTAGGCACCCGGTGTTGGGGCGGCTCAGCTTTTTCCCACCTCGAAATCAGCTCCCAACATGTTCCAGACACCGGCTTCAGCGTGCTGCACTTCCGCTGCGCAGCCAGCAGCGTATGTCGCAAGATATATATCGACCCTCCAGACGAGTAGAGCCAACTTCCATAGGCCCGCAAAGCCATGGCTAAAAGGTGGGGGCTGCGGAAGAAGACAGACGTGAAGTCGAAAGAGAGACGACTCGAGCACCAGGACAAGAAAGACGACCAACAACGAGCGCCGAGAGCCGAAGTGGTGGCCGAAATGAGTGGCTGGGCTTCGAGTGGGACAGTGCGAGCACGCTGTCGCTCTGCACGCGACTGCCACCGAGGACCTGGGTTTTGGGCTTCCCCGATGCGGCAGTAAGGCACGAGTGTCGTAAGCAGGAGGTTGAACTGGGCTTGGGTGAGGACTCTAAACCAAAACTTAGGGTACCCGAAAAAGGGATGTCTGGTAAGGTCGTCTATGACCCTTAACCTAGCCGCGAGCCGAGCACCAGCTCCAACGCGCCTCGAGGGGCGGGCTGTGCCACAAAGCTTGCCGACGGAGTTGCGGGGACGAGGCCTAAACCGAAAGCTAGGGTACCCGAAAGTGGGAAGTCCGGTCAGATCGTCTAAGACCCTCAACCAAGCCGCAAGCCGAGCACGAGCTCCTGCGCACCTAGAGGAGCGGGCTGCGCTACAAAGTTTGCGGACGGAGTTGCGGGGACGAGGCCTAAACCGAAAGCTAGGGTAACCAGAAATGGGAGGAATGCAGTGTGGCCCTGATTCTGAGTCGGGCGTCCAACGCCAACGGGACTGGCGTTGGCTTTGCTTGGATCCAGGGCGGCTAAACCGAAACTTAGGGTAGTCGAAAAGAGGATATGGGGTTTGAGGCAAAGGAGGCCAGGTAGGGGGCGTCAGAGGCTTAAACCGAAAGCTAGGGTACCCGAAAGTGGAAGGGTCGCGGGGCCTCAGCAGCTCAAAGCCATCGTGTCCACAAAGGGCCAGAAAAATCAGGGCTACGGGCCTAAACCGAAACTTAGGGTACCCAAAAGGGGGGAGAGATGTTGCGGCCTGAAGCACTGGGCCAGGGCGCAGGGCCTCGCCAGGCAGCCTGCTAAGTGTGACCTTGGAGGCTTCGATGGAGACGCTACTGTCGGCAGCACTCCACCCGGTTTTGAGACACACGGCTCGAGCGATGCGATCGCAGAGGCTGCGAGGGTACACCTGGGCGACCCTGGTCCACGAGAGATCATGCAGGGCTGAGCGTCCGCACAAGCGCAGGTGCTGGGTGCCTTGCGCGCATCGGCAGAACTGCCTCAAACCTTTCAAGCATGTGTTTGTCGCTAACCGGCTCCTTTTGCGCCACTTTGTGCCATAACGGCACATGTCAAACCTGTAAAGACCCTCAGCGCTTCGAGCTCCGAACTCAGGGGCCCATGGCGCCGTCTGCCACAAAAAGGAGCTATCAGCATCGCCAATCCAAAAGGCCTTGTTAGCACTGCCCTGATCAAACTTACTCAGCAGGCGCCTAATCCACTTACTTAGGGAGTTCCCTCGAGCGACCTTGTCGAAGGCGGAATTGGGGAGGCCTGGCAAGCCTTCAGGGTGAGCAGCGCTCCTCCAAGGCGGCCTGACCGCAACAGAGAAAGACGAGCTGACCGGAGCAGCACCAAACGATCTGAAGAGCTCAGCCTCTATCATCAGCTCAATGCGCCTTCTGAGACTTGCATCGTGAAGGTTCTCAGCAGTGAAGGTCAACACCCAAGGGGCGCCGTACTGACAAAGGGCCTTAGCAACTCCGCTCCTTGCCGCAAAAAGCTCCAGAGCCCCAGGCTGCTCCAGATCGAGCCGGTCAGCTCTATGCAGAAATTGCGACCGTGGGAATGAGCCAAGGACAGCAAGGGCTTGCGCACGCAGAGGAACAGCCAAGCCAGGAGGAACGGCGTAGTCAGGCCCAGCAGCAGCGGATCTCCTCACGCGTGCTCTGCTTCGTGTCTTATCATCCCAGCGACAGCGAACCTTAGGGGGTCCACGCGTGGCAAGCTCGGGCTGCACAGGCGCAGCCGCGTCTTCAGAACGCAGTCGATCAAGAGCCGATGGGTGAAAAAGCCCTTCATTCCGCCCATCACCCTCAAAGACCGACAGCCACCGATCAAACGGGCCGGCATCACCGTTTATCAGGGGCAACCAGGAGTGCGGCAGGGAGGCGCTCGGGGGTGCAACTTCGCGCCCTCGCGTAGGCGCATCTGCAGGATTCTCCTCAGATTTGAAGAAACCGTAGTGAGGGTAAAGACCCCCTCCGAGGTATGTCGGCACAGAGGCCTTGAGCATGCGGTTCAAAGGGACAGCGGCAGCGCGCCCCTTGCACAGTGCTCCGAGGCCCACCTGGCTGTCAAGAGCAGCCAGAAAACGGCATGAAGAGTATGAGAGCGCAATGCGCCTTTCTTGCTTCAGGGAAGCTCCGAGTTCAGAAAGGTTGATGTGTTTTCTCTTTTCCAATCTTTCCCTCCAGAGCTCTCGGTAAGGCAGAGCAGTTGCAAGCACCTGCCAGACAGGATGCGGTGTATAAGGCAAGGAGTCGGGGAGTTCGTCATGTGGATCCAGCATGTCATGCTCCCGAAGCCAAGCGGCCGATGGCGACAAGAGCCGCGTCCAAGATCCCTTCATAAGCGAGTGTCTCAAGCATTCGCCAGCAAGCTCCTCGTGCAGGGGTGCCTCACAGGCCGCTATGTGTGTTGTTGAAGCATCGGTCGCGTAAACTCTGGGGAGCACACGCGCACGCAGATCGGCAACAGCGAAAGGCCCCAGACATACCAGTGAGAGCAGTTCATCTCGCAGCCCTGGGCTCATGCGAATCACAGCATCACCGGAAGTGCCTCTGAGAGCAGCATAAGTGAGGTGGAGGAGGGACAGCAAGCGGCGGCGCACAAGCAAGATTGACACCCACGAACCTAGCAAGGACTCTAGCAAAGGCCTAGTCACTAACCCGAGGGCAACAACTCTGGAGGTGACGACCAGGAGAGGGCCTAGACGGGCCGGAGCAGGTCGAACGAGCCCTTTTAACCCATCAAGTTCAATACCCCAAAGGCTGGCCTTGAGCTCATTGCAGCAGCCCTTGGCCCTATTGGCGAGTAACTTGGCCTGGTTATAGGCTGCATAAGCGGAGTCCAGGCGGGCTTTTCCGACGGTGTCCTCATCAATCCTGGCGCCAGACCCGCCTTCTTGGAACCTGCAAGCTGCAAGACTGGGCCTTATCAGGCGCTCGAGAATGACGAGATCATCGATCACAACGCCGATGGAGAGAAGCCCTCTAGGGGGCGGTCGGTGCAACGTGAGCAGCTCAGCACTGGACACAACCCCCGCTTTCGAGAGAAGCCCTAGATGAGACCCCTGTGCGTATTCACACGCCGCGCTGTCCCCCATAGCTAACGTGGCCAAGGAAACATGGACGCGGCCAGCGGGCGTGGCCCAGTCAGCACATGGATACCCAAAGACGCTCTCGGCTTCAGCAAGCGACAGGGTGCAGCAGAGGAGGTTCCGGTGCAGACGCTGTTCAGTAGGGACAAATTGGTAAAAGAAGTCCTTGAGGTCCGCGGCGCTTGCTGCTAAGACCTCATCCTCCCGGAGGCGTATCTGGGTCACGGCTTCATAGGACGCCAGAGAGCCTGTCCAGAAGTTCGGGGGTCGCTCCAATGTATTTCCTGGCCGAGCGTCAAGGATCAAGCGGTCCCGCTGGAGATCCTTGATCACACAAAAGAGACCGGCTGCGTAGGGCAACCGAGCTGGATCAGGACGTATCGGACGCAACCTCCCACTTGAGGCAAGGAGTCGCAGCAGGGCGACTTTCTCCTCATTGGAAGCCAAGACACGAACAGGCGGAGGAGGTCGGTGCAGAAGGTCGGGAGGAGCAGCGAAATCCAAAGGCCGCTGGTACCTCTCCCTGGTGCTCTTGTCAAGGAAAGGGCTTGGGTCAAACGCAGGCTCGGAAGGAAAACTCAAACGGCTGGCTTGTATTGGCTTAGCAGGACAAGGGGCAGCTGCGCTGAGGTTTCCTGTGACCTTTCCGAAGGAGGCGGATTCAAACTCGGGTGCAGGGCGCTCAGGGCGCGAACGTGGGGGCAGAGCCCCGTGGTGCTCAAAAGGGGGTTCGTGCAAATCGTGGTGCTCGAGAAGCTCAGTGCTCGTGTGAGCTCGGGTCTGAAAAGACCCCGCCCCGTAAACATGGTGCAGTCCTTCAAAACTGTGGACGGCCTTTGCCAGAGCGCAGAGGATCTTTTCACAATCCTCAACCTTGGAAGCGGTGCGCCCCATAGCTTGGGCATCAATCTCAAAACAGGCATTGTCATCACGACTCAGACGCTCAAGAGTCCGGACCATGCGCCATTGCCTCGGGCTGAGGGGAGCCCCCAGCATGATTTCAGGTGGGCATGAGGTCGGCTCCTTCAAATGGAGCCAGCTCAGGATGGCCACGCCAAGGCAGACTCGTTTCTTCCGCCAGCAGGGGGCGGCATGTCCTTTGCAAAAGACCTCAGGGTAAGGCAGAGGGCAAGGCCACAGTCGTGACGTCGGCTCCCGGATAGGAGCGCGATGAAGCATGCAGCGCAGAAAAGAAGAAAAGGTGGTTCGTGCGCGCAGGACCAAGCTGGGAAGAGATTGCCAGAAGGATGGGAGGTGCACAGTGGTAGCAGAGGCTCCAGGGACCCGGACGGTTGGGCTTTCCTTAAGCCCGTTGCTCACTCCTCCAGCTGTTTCTTCCGCCCGCCCTTTTGCTTGGCTTTGGCTTTGGGAGCTTCGCGTCTCTCGTCCTCCTCTTGGCTTTGGGCCCCTTTCCTGGGCTGGTTCAGCTTTGCTCGTTTCTCCATAAAGTCTGCTTGATCCCGCAGATGATGGATCGCAACTTCCGCCCAGCGGGCGTCCAAGAGTCGAGAGAAGGGTTGCTCTTGATCGCGATGCTCGTGCAGTCGAAAAGAGTGTAAAGGGGCTGGAGGCTCTAAGGACAGTTCTGATGCTAGTGTGTATGAGCCGCGGTCTGCGGCGGCCTGATCGATCATAAGAAGAAGCACATACAGCCTCGCCTTGCACTCCTCGAAACGGCCAAGCCGGGCCGCGTCCAATGCCCCCGCAACTCCCCAGGCTGTCTTTACAACTCCGGGAAAGGGGCCAATTCTGCTTCTGAACTCCAACCAGCCGCGTGCAGAGGTGGCAGTAGGCACTCCTGGGGCCCCAGTCTGCACCAAAAGATCTTCTAACATCAGAGATTCTATCGTCTTCGATATGAGGGCCGGATTCTCTGTGAGAGCTTCGCGAAGAGCTTTCCGTGCTGCAGCGTTCCGCCTCAAGCTCGGGCCTGCAGCGGCATCTTGAGAGCCGGATTCGAACAAGGAATCGAGGGGATGCACAGCTTTCTTTTTCACCTTGTCGGAGGCGAGCAGCTCCACTGCTGTCGTGAGTCTGGAGATGGCATCCCCCACAGGGTCGGTCGATGTCACAGCTCGCTCCGGGGAGGTGGCAGTCACTGCCTTGCGGTGCCCTGCCTCGTCCTCGCCCTCGGTTTCGGAGAGAGGCCCAGTCCGTGGAGGGGCGGCCCTGGACTTCGGCATCTTTGCTGTCGACTCGCCCATCACCAGCCTGTCCATCTCCTGTAAGGCAGCCGAGCTGACACCTGCTGCCAGCGCTGCAGCTGCCACACCCGGGTCCAAGTGAGGGAAGGAGCCAACGAGCACACCATCTCCTCCTCCCAGACCCGCATCCACCTCCGGCTTCCTTTGGCGGGCGCGAGGCTTTGGTTTCGCCTCGCGCTGTCTCGGTTCTTCCTCTGCCAAGCCCTCTTCTGAAATGCCCTGTCGCGCAAGGAGCGCCTTCATGCCGGAGCCGATGCGGGCCATCGCCGCCTCCAGCGCTTGAACCCGACCCCGAGCTCGCCTTGTGCATCTGGTCCTCCCGACTCTGCCGTCTCGAACTGAAAGAGCTCGGCCGCAGCGGCAGCTAAAGACCCGGCGTGTGGAAGGAGAGCCTGTCCATGACTGTCGACCCCAAACGCATAGTCGGCTTGGCTGGTAGAAGAAAAGGCGACTCCCCCCTCGAAGGTTGGATGCAAGAGCCCGATCCATGCGCGCAGGGCGTTGGGCACCAGCTCTTCCCTTGCTTCGGCCAAACAGGCTCCGACGTCCACAGCTGTGGCTTTGGACAGGGCAGACCGCCCCAACACTCGCCCTTGCGCCCGCCGATGCCAAACAGCACCCGGCACGCAGACCACGAGACGATCGTTTAGCTCGGTCACCACGGCAATCTCGCACCAGCATTCGGAATCCCCGTCGCCGTCGACCCGGCAACGCAGCAGCCCAATCGGGTAGTCCATCTCTGTCACGCCTCCATTGACCACCATAGCATCTCGAGGCGCCAACTCCTCTCCTTCCAAATCCTCCTCCTCTTCGGGGACTGCAGCCATGCTCACCAATTAGCGGGCAGTACAAGGCCGGCTGCGTGAGCTGCGGCCTCCACGTCTCCTCGATTTGGCAGACCAATGAAAACGGCCTGGCCCAAATCTGAGCCTCGTTTGCAAAGCTCCTTACACTGAGCAAAAGAGCTGCAAACCAGAACAGGGTTGCAATCGCGGCCAGAATGATCCCGCGCAACGAGCCAATAACGCAACCCGCTGGGGAGCCGTTCACGCCCCGACGGGCCTCTGTGCTCGTCTTGCAAGGCCCTGCGGAGCCAAAGACCCACCTCTCGGCAGGCTGCTCCGCGTGAACGTGGGGACAGGGCTGCACTCGCAAAGTCAGAAGGGGCTGAGGCCTGACTTTCAGGGAGCCTTGCAACAGCTCCAAAGGAGAGAGGGCTCTCCTGGGCCCGTGGGCCCTGCAATGGGTACTGAGGGATTGCCGACTGTTGGGCTACAGGTGTGGTGAAGGAAGCGCTTCCAAGCGAAGCGGCCTGTGCAATGGCAGGAGGCGTAGTGGGGATGACCTGGAAACCTTCGCCTGCGTCAATGCCAAGGAAGGAACGAAGAAAACGCACCTCTGCACTGAGAGCGCTCACAGCAGCTTCCAAAGCCTCCACACGGGCCTGCATGCACTGGGGCACCAACCCTAAACCACCCTAAACCACCCACCGTGCAGGAGTCGCTGCGAGGCGGCTCGCAGGACAGCTGCTCGCAGCAGCAAACACACCTCAGCCAATGGGAACAGCAGAACCCCGCACCCCAGCCCCAGAAGGAATGAGGAGAGGTCGAGGTCGAAGTCCCAAGCAGGACAAACAGGGCAAAATGGCGAAGGATCGAACCGAGCCTGGGGAGAGACCGACGAGGTAGAAAGAAGATGCAGGACTAGGGCGGCGACCGACCCAGACAAAGACGCAGGAAGAGTCGACAAGGCAAGGTCCCTGCTCATGAACCAAAAGAAGCTGTCGTTGCATCGTGCATGGTAAGACATGCTTTAACAACATGGCGAGAACGGTTTTTGCTCGAGGTTTTGACGTGCAAGGCCTTCGGGTGCAAGGCTTTCGGGCTTGCACTGCTGTTTTCTTCTTGAGGCGTGGGTTTGGGTTAGGGGGTTTTAGGGTGCAACAAAAGCCATGGACGATGTCATCGTGAGGACATGGATGCCCTGGCCAACGGACGCACTGGTAGAATCGATTCGTCGTGCGGACATGGATGCTCTGGCGCTCTGAGCGATGATTTTCTATGATGGCACCCAAAAACCCCACCACCATGTCTTTTTGAAATCAACGTTTCGCCTAGGCGAAACGCTTTGCCAAAAACCCCAAAGCACAAGCTTCCAGATGCGCAGCCTAGCCCTTGACTGTTGACATCTCTTGACATCTAACACTTCTAAGCGGCACCTGCAGCCCCAGATGCCTCGGAACCCCCAAAGAAGGCCCCAGAGAGTGCAGGGTTTAGGAAATTTGGTACATTTAGGCTCATTTAGGGGAAGGCCCCCCAAAAAATCTCTCAAGCTCCGGCCTCGAAAGCGCACTCCTCTGCGGGATTCCTCGGGTTCTGGCAGTTGGGAGACTCGGGCTTGCGGCTTAGGTCCAGCACCGCGGAGGGCTTGCTGCATGTAAGTCCCCAAAACTCAGACCAGGCCCGGAACAACAGAATCAGGAACCTGCTAAAGGCAAGCTTTCCTCTGCCGAGGTTCAAGTCCACCGAGGTCACTTCCACAGTGGGCCCCGGAGGCGGGGGCGGCGGCTGGCGGGGGTTTCGGCCGTCCCGGGATATTTGTGGGTTTCGGAAGTCTAAGTATGCGTAGGACAGTGGGACTCTGGCATTTCGGTGGCTGACAACTTGGAGGCATTCCCAAGCGAGATCTTGTCAGATGCGAGTCCGGAGGTTTCAACGTCTGTTGCAGTGCAGTCCATTGACGTGAAGGCCAGAAGCGACGATGGTATAGGGTTTAAGGCGTTTTGAGTTCGGGTTAAGGTTGGGGGGCTGGGTCCAAGCCGGACAAAAAACAAATCACGTTAAATGGAGGATTCTTATGAAAGCTTGCTTGCTACGTATGGGGCAGAAGCCTCGATGCGACATCAGCTGTCATCAGGAATCAGGTCTGGGTTAAAACCGATTTTAAGCCAAACCTGGGGCTGCTTTGGACTACCCCACCCCAGGCTTGCTTCCGGACTTAAGCTCATGTATTCTTCTATGGGGTTGGCGCCGGTTTAGAGCCTTTCCGCAGCGACGGGACAGCACGACCGGTCAGCTTAAAACCGGTCTCGAACCCAAACAACCAAAACCCTCAAAACATCTCAAAACATCTCAAAACCCTAAAGGCCCTGAAACCCTCAAGAGTCGTTTCATTTGGGGGGGGGGGGGGGGGGGGCTGCCTCGGAGCTTCTGAGTTTTGGGGGGGACTCTTTCCTCTTCTTTGAGGAGCCGGGCCCGCGCCTCCACATCCATGGCGGCCCCGTGCGGCGGCCCGGGAGTGGAGGCAGCCAGCGAGGTCCAAAATGATTCCGTGGATTTCGGGTGTCTTAAATTTTAGAGAAAACATTTTTTGCTGAGTTATGGGGTTTTTTCGTTTTGCGAGGTCTGCTAGGTGCTGGTGCTGGGGAGGAGGCGGGTTGCGATGGGTGCTGTCTCTATGGCAAGTCCAGCTCAAGCAAAACCTTGCGGCCACTCGATGCATCCGTGAGCTCGCTAATGCTCGCTGTGCTCGCTGTGCTCGCTCCAGAGTCTTCAGGCTTCAAGCACCGCTGGAGAGCATCAAATTTGTGCGAGGGGGTAAGGCATGAGAGAGGTTGAAGGTGACCACCCTCGGAAGCCAAATCCACACCTCCCCAATGGAGTTCTGCGCCGTCCGCACGGACTTCTCTGTCTCCTTGATGGCCTCAGCGTCCCGAGAAAAGCGCTGTACGCACCACACACGAAGCTGTTTAGGCGTTCCTAGGTTTAGAGATAGCTACTGTACTATTCTGTATTTTGAAGTACTGCCATTTTTGGAAGCTTTTAGGGTGTAGGGTTTCGGGCTGCAGGCCTGCAGCATGACGTGCCGGAGGTCTTCGTTGCCCTCCATCTGCAGAGGTGCAGCCGCAATGGAGACCTGCCAAAGAAAGAAACACGTAAGCCAGCTCCCTCCCCCCCCCGACCTTTAACAACGCCAACACCCCTGAGAAAACCTTGAAGCCGGCTGCCTTCTCCACCTCATCCTCTGCCGCCTCGACCTTCTCCAGAACGGCCGGCATCATCTCCTCCGAGGGGTCTTCGGGTTTTCCTGACTTTGGAGGGTTTAGGGCCTTCAGGGTTTGGGGTCGACATGGGTCGACCCTCCCTGCGCCCCGAAGACGTGAAGAAGCGCCCTTGCTCGCAAAGCCGTGCGCTCCTCCAGCTGCTGACTCTGCGCCACTTCCTCAAGAACGAGGGCGGGCTTCGGGTTTCAGCACTACGTAGGGCTTCGGACTCATGGACAGAAAGTCCAGGGCCCGTGGTTTGGAGGAAGCACATTTTTGCAGTGACCCCCGCGGCTGACACATGCCGCGAGAATTATCTCCACCTTCCGAAACCGGAACCCCTCCATCCCACATTCCTTTTGTTCGAGTGCAAAGCCATACAGCACTCCCAAGACCTCTGGAGATCGCAACCCTCCTTGGGGTGGCCCCAAACTCTACAAACCATCCTACAATCGTACCTTACACTAGGCGCTTTGAATCCGAAACTAGGACCCACCTCCTAGAGCCCCCGTCGAGGCAGCGGCGAGCTCGCTCAGGGCTTCCTCGTTCTTCTGCAGCAGCGGGCGGTCCTCAGCCTCATCCTGCGGGTCAAAAGGGTCTTGTAGTCTCATTTTTACGGAAGTGTTGGGCTTTTTGCCTTTTTGCATCCACGGACCCTCGCAAGGCTTATCGGGTTCACGTTTCGGGGAAGCTGAACCCCTTCCAATTTCAAAAGATCGTGGATGCTTTTGCCGGTGCCGTGTGCGGGAGCCACCGGAATCGGCAGCGTCAGCCCCTAAAGCTCTTAAAGCCGAAAACTCCGTCCGCAAAACCCCTAACACCCAATAGAGACCAACGGGCCGAGCCTCCAAAACCCCCGAAACCTCCCCTCCTCCACCAGCCTTGACCGTTGCGAGAGGCTTCAGTTTCGTCACAGCATCCTTTAGTTCGCCCTGGAGTCGCAGGTAGGGTTGCGGGTTTAGGTTGTATATCTTGGGGGGGGGGGGGTCAAGCTCTAGGTGTTGGCAGCCAGGAAGTGGAGTTGGGATTCTGCATCTCCGGTACACGGAGGGCCCGCTTGAAACGAGTTTGAAACGAGCTGGCGCATCCTTCAACCGAGCTGCAAGTGCCTACTTCGGTGCCCCTGCGATGCGATTCTACGCTTATGGCCGCTTCAAACAACTCGAATGTTGATAAACTCCTCTGTACTCAGCTTTCTTGCACCATCTCATACAAAGCCGGCATCGCGCAACTCGACAACTGCACAAAGATTCGCGAACCTCTTTCCCTCCGAAAACGCAGCTATGCCTCCGTGCGAAGTTGCAATGCCCGATCCAAACATTGCGCACCCTCAACCCTAAGCCTAAGCACGACAAGGCCGGTGTGCCTGGAGTCCACGCAGTCTTTTGCTCAGCTCCTGCAGGAGCAGGAAATGCCTGTGCCCCAAACTCGCAACTTCTTACACCCCAAGACCTCGCCCCGAAAAATCGCAAAGCCTAAACATCGCAACTTTACATCCGGAAGCACTCCAGGTTCGAGTTCAGGGCTTAGGGCAACCGCAGTGAAGTACAGAGAAACTCAGTTTGCATCGCATGTCGGTGTCCCTTTCAAGGCACCTACTTCGACAGCGATGTTGCTGTAGTCCATGGCATTACGAAAGATGCAATATCGAGCGTCATACACATGCACGGGAGCCTCGCGATGCTCAAGAATCCTTTACGGCACAGGCCTCCTCGCCACTTTGGCAAAAACAGCAACGTCTGCTTAGGACTGGATTTTGCGAAGGGCTTAGGCTTAGGATTGGATTTTGCAGAGGCCGTAGATTTGCCTGAACGTCTGCCTTTCTCTCTGGCAGCACACTGTCGATGTTCCTGAGCACTCAGCAGCCTTGCCTGAGTTAGGTGAGAGAAGTGAGCTGCTCAGTTCTCAAGATGATGGTCCCTTTTTGGGTACCCTAAAAAGGAGGGGCCGCCGCCAACAGGGACCATATTTGAGAGAAGTGACCAGCTCGTTTTGATGAACCACGGCGGAAAGTCGGATTCACATCTTGGATGGCATTGTCCACATCGGCGATCTTCCCTCACCTACTCCTTTTCGGTGCGGCTCATCAAAAATCAAAAAGTGAGTCTAGGAAAGGCTGCTGAGTGCTCAGGGACATCGACAGAAAGCTGACAGACAGAAAGGAAGATTCGCAGGCAGATCTAAGGCCTCTGCAAAATCCGATCCTAAGACCTCCGCAAAATCCAGGCACATCTTCGGGCAGATCCGCTGGTCCTGAAGGAACTTTCAGAATTTGGCACGGGCGTCTTCTTCATCGTTCGCAGCATCCTGTTGATGTACCACTTTTTCGTGGGCACCGCAAAGCCTGGCAGCCCTGGTTGCAAGGACTTGCGACTGTCTGGGAAAACTGGCCGTGGCGAAGCTCCCTCTTGTTCTTTCACGCAACCCCAGACATGGACAGACGTGCTGCTCATCAACAAGCTGCTGGGGTGCTGCTGGTGCATACTCTGCTGTCATCATGGCACGCGCGCTCCAGCAGGTCTTTCTTCAGGATCGGCGGAGCCTGCATGGCGCAAAATGTAGTTCAGGAATCGGGAAAATAGCTGCCCTTCAAACGAACAGCTCATGCTATCCCGTTCGCTCACCAATCAAGCACTATGCCTAGGCCCTAGCCCTCCTCCAAACTCCCCAAACATCCCCCTAAGAAAACTTGAGAAACCCCAACCCACCCCAAGCCCCATCTTGTTCTGCATTGCACTGGGCTCCTCGCCTTCGCGGCTGCGACACCTTCGGCTGCGACGAAGCGCTGCACTTCGGCTAACGCTCTCCTGAGGGTTCTTGGGGGGCGGGGGGGGGCTTAAGGCTTAGGGCTTAGGATTTAGAGATAGAGGGATGTAGGGATGTAGGGATGTAGGGATGTAGGGATGTAGGGATGTAGGGATGTAGGGATGGAGGGATGGAGGGATGGAGGGATGGAGGGATGGAGGGATGGAGGGATGGAGGGATGTAGGGATGGAGGGATGGGGGGGGCATCTTACCAAGCGTTTTCTTTCCTGAAAGCTGCCACTTCTGTGTCCCATGGTGTGGTCTTGCAGCTTGCTGCTCGTGCAGAACTCTCCCTGGAAAGCCTGGAAAGCAGCCGAAAAAAAAAAAAGACCCAAGCCCCCGGTGGGGGGGACGATTCGAGGCTGCAGCTGTTGTGCTGACAGCGCGGCCAGGGCCTCTGACGGCTTTTGGCGGGGCTTTTGGAGGGCGTTTCGGGTTTAGGGGATGTTGGCGGGTTGGGGGTTCCAAAATGCTCTAAGGCTCAGGGCTTAGAAGTTTGATGTTGGGAAAGGCTGCGGGTTGAGGGCTTTATCATGTTGGGCATCTGGCGAGTTCAGGGCCTGTATCTAGGGTTTTGGTGGTTTGGGAGTTTTGGGTTTGGGCCCCAAAGTAGCAAAGGGCTCACAGAGCCCACCTCCGACACCTGAACCTTGCCCTACATCCCTAGAAGAAGGTTCATGAAATGCGCAAGGCCCTGCAACCATCCTCCATAAAACCCTCAGCACATACCCAACTAAACCCACTCTAAACCCCACACCCTAAACCCTAAACGCCTCAACAAACAACTGCTCGGCCTCTTTGCACGCGTCGACGTCGTCGTCCGGCACCGCGGCGGCCATCTCCAGCGCCTCCCACGCTACAAAGTGTTGGGTCTCAGGACCTCAGGGCCCCTCAACCCTAAACCCCAAACCCTGAACCCCTAACCCTAAACCCTAAACCTTAGGGTTCTGAATGTTCAAGAGAACTTGAGCTGAAGGGTTTAGGGGGTGCGGGACCGCCAGAAGGCTTGGCGAAGGGCTTAGGGTCTGGGCATCCAGAAATTCAAAGATTTTTGGCTTACGGTTTTGGGTTTTGGGCACAGCAAAAGATGCTTTATGTTAAGCCCTGTAGCTGAAGACCACAAAGCCTTAAAACATGCACCGCCCGGCACAAGCTTCGAGCGAGACCGCCCCAGTCGCGAGAAAGCGAGTGGAAGCGAGCGTAGATGCAAAAGTTTGCGAGATTGCATTCTCTCCATCAAGTGGTTGGTGTGCCGTGCGTCTTGCATGCATTGTCTCCGTCTCCATCACCTCCAGCATGCACGCCGAGGACGGGGCTCTTGACGCAGGAGCCCTGAAATTCCTGAACACCCAAAGCTTCGAAGCCCCAGAGCTGGGGCCTGCCGGGCGTCAAGCTCCACTTCGGCGCACTTCTCGGTGGCCTGGGCTGTGCGATGCTGTGCGTCACCAGACCCAGGTAGGTTTTGAGGCACGCTGCGGGTCTCAGGGCTCCCAGGTTGAAGTCCCTGGGTTCTATGGGCAATTGGAGCTAGCAGGTTCCTGAGTTTACGGTTCTGTGCCCAGGGTTTCGGGCTTTTGGTGGGCTTTAGGCTTGAGTTCCTTCGACTTGTGGCCACAAGGCGGTTTGACAGGTTAAGGATGTGGTGAAGACTTGGAGGCTGAGGATGGCTTGGAGTTGAGAAGAGTTGTCGCACACGACTCCAAGCTCAGGAAGGGCCGCAATACCCACAATGCGATGACGATCCCTGAAGCCCCTAAAGTCCCAAACGGCCCTGAACTCTGACCAACCTCGTAGAGTAAGGGAATCTGACAGTATGCCCTCATGGACCAAGTTCCGGCTTCCCCCCATTGCTTCCGCCCCCCGGGTCCTGCTCCACTCGCTGCTCCCACTGCGTCTCCAGGGACTTGGCAGCAAGCTTTATGGAGGAGGGCGCATCCCGAAAAAACCCTAACACTATGCCAAGACGCCTCTTAAGGAACTTTAAGCCCCTTGGTAGCCCCAACCGATCCGACCCTCGTAGCCTACCAACCCAGATATGTCAAGCCTGCGGTGATAAGGTGTGTGGAGAATCTCCTGAGGCTGAGGGAGGGTTGAAATGCGGGCTGAGAGAGGGGGATTAGGGCTTGAGCAGAAGCCTGGGGTGCCAGCAGAATTGAGTCTCGCATCCTCCTCTTGCCTTCTGGCCTCGCATTGCTTTCGGGTTGCGAGGGGGGGAAGGTGATTCCTCCCCCTGAAATAAGCCCGCCAGCTGCAATCCTCGGATCCTTGTTTCAGTTTAGGCTGACCTGCGACGTGCAACCCCCATGCTCTTGAACCCCACATCCCGCACCCACAGCCTCAAGCCTCAAGCCACACATGCTCGAAGCTGAAACTCCTTCGTAATCAGCCTTGAGACAATACAAGTCAATAAGCATCACAAGCTAGAACCATATAGGCAAATGCGACGATGCCCGCCGACCTGCATTCGTGCCAAGGCTTGCTTTTTCTCCTGGCTGCTTCGACGTGCGCAACTTGAAGAATCCACAGGAGTCGGTGCATGTTTTGGTCTCGAGCTTCTGGATGCACTTGCCAACGTCTACTTACTGCCATGAGCCCTGTGCAATCGCCATTGTCCTTCCCCAGATGTCAATCAGTTGTATTGCCTATATCCACTGCCCCACTCATCCCCGCGCACCCTTAAGCACCGGTTGAGATTTGGGGCTATTGGGAGTCAACCGCACGGGACGCGAAGCTTCAGACTGCCTGTTGAAAAGCGTGCAAGTACCCGCACGTGGTCCAGCAAAGCTACATCGAAAAAAGAGAGATTGATGTCCTTGTACTTACACTTCCCACTCGCCCGCCAACCACCTCCGCACTTGCCTCCCTTGCCCTCCTCTCCCTCGATTACTCTCTCCCCTAGACCATTCTGCCTGGAGTTAATGGTTGCGAGGGAGGGAGGGAGGCAGAGGGAGGGAGAAAGGCTGGCAGCTGTACCCGCCCAATTTCGCGCCGAGAAGGGGGGGAGAAACAGGGTGGGGAGAGGGGGGGAAAGGGGGAGGAGGCGGGAAGGGGGGAGGGGGGGGCGGGTTATGGTTGCGAGTTTGACTTGCCAGGTTGATGGGGTTCACACAGTGCACGCGAAACCCGAAGTCCTCACTCTGCTTCTCCATCTTGCTGGAGACGCACAGTTCGTTCCGGACCTGACGGACTGCTAACGGCTAAGATGCATCAAGACGGTCCCGGCTCACAACCTACATTTTCAAATCCGTGCAGTCGATGCTTTGCCATGCCCAGCTGCGCGACACAGCATGCTCGGGGTCAAGCGGAATCATAGGGGCCGAGAATATGGCATGCCGGTTCTTACGGCGCAACACTTCCTACGCCGAACCGCGAGGGCCTCCTATGTCATGCACACAAAGACCAATAGGGTTTTATTGGAGTTTATACGGCCTGCCTCACCATCCCAGGGTATGGTCCAGCCGGTCTTCGGCGGCCTCTGCGATGTTGCCGGGTTGCGCGACCAAGCCTGCCAGGAAGGCGCTGAAAGAGGAGGGGAAGGGGGGGGAATGGGGGGGGGGGGGGGGGGGCAGGGGCACGTTCCATCTTCAAGTCCGAGTTCAGATGTTCCCTTACTTATGGCAACCATGATTGCTAACGACCTATGATGATGCCTGTTCGGAATTGCAAGCGGAACAACCCTAAACCCTAATTTTGGCTTAAGATCCCGGGGCAAGTTCGAACTGTTTGGGGACAATAAACCCACCGCCGTTGAAACCGCCCCATTTTTTGAAGTGAAATGCTTGTTTTGGCGGCTTCCAAACAGGCCGATTTTCGAGGGTGTCGTTGCGACACGTTGGGTTTTTGCAGAAGTGTGATGGTGTGTTGTTGTTCCGGCTTTCGGACTGTCGGTGTCACAGCTTTGCAACGGCCTTGTCGTTCTTGACAAGCAAGTCTGAAGCAAAAACGCAGTGTTGCGGCATGTTCGCAAAAGGCATGAACACTTGTGCGTGAACACTTGTGACAGCACGTCTGGTGGCAGAAGCATCAAACAGACTCTTGCAATATTCTGTGAGAGGCAAACACGCTGAACATTTCCATGTTCGCAAAAGGCTTGCGACAAGTGACCACTGCCTGTGAAGGCCCGTAAAGAAGAGGTGCACGTTTTTCTCCTACTTCCAGGATCCTCTTGCTTTCCAGGCAGTTGCATAACATTCCGATCATCCCCAGGCCCAGAAAACCCGCCAACTTGTAATCTCAAACATGGGACTTGCGGGCGCTTGCCACAGTTCCCAACCTCCATGGAAATCATGCTTATGAGCCGAGGGTGAGGGTGGGGATCGAGAAACTGCTCCCAACCCCCGCCTTTTCGAGCCTTAAGAGCCATTCTACCCAGCAGTGGAGATGGAAAATGTATGGAGTGGAGGTTGGCGCGATGTGGAGTGTGATTGCAAGCCCACTTATTGTGAGTGACAGCTAGACACCATTGTCTGGGAAACAACGATTTCTGTCAAAAGCAACGACTCTTGACTCTTGCAGAGGCTCGCAGGGTTTCCGGTAGGAACCCTAGCCGTTGCTCATGGATTATGACGTACTCGCCTCGCTACAGCCGGAAACCCCAAGATCCCGAACCAGGATCCCAGCCTGGGTCCCCCCGACCTCATCACCGAACCACCAGCCCGTGAACCTCGGAGGGCTCCAGGGTGCCAAGGTTAGGATTCGGGCCTCAAGGTTATGAAGTACAGGGTTGGAGATTTGGGGATAGAGGCGCCGGACTCTGGTTTTTTCGGCCGGACTTGGAGCCCGGCAAAGGCCCTGAAGTGTCGAACCCCCGGCGCGCCCCCTTTGTGGCAGAAGTCCACCAGTAGGTGTTGACTTCTCTTGTATGGTTTTTATTTACAGCCACCCCTCTGAATCCCCTGTCCCAATGTTCTCAAACTCCATAATCACCTGCGAGGCTGGGGCTCGACAGAGTCCGGATCCTCCCAGTAGAAGATGAACACATCCATCTCCTGTGAGTTCAAGCTTCGAAGCGTTTTCGTCAAAGGCGCACATGTCCCTTCCTGTCCTCTTGTGAGGGCTTTTGCTCTGAGCTCACATACATACCTCTTACGTGTCTTGTACACATAATTCGAGACTTGATCTGCAGCCTGCTGGACGCGGGCAAGTTGGCTCGGTCAGTACCCAACCGCCACCTCGGCCTCCTCTACAAGAAGAGGAAGACCCGAATACCCAGTGTGACGGCGAGCAGCCTCCCTTCACCTTGCAGCTCTCATCAAGCACAGTCTGGATGATCTTTCGCGGCTTGCTCCTGAGCTACCACCATGCAGCCGCCTTGAGAGCACCTCCGCCTCTGGCGTTTCCAACGGCGCTTCGGGTCACTTGGATCTCACAACGCTGCCAAACAATGCACCAGAACTCCTCGTTTGTGGAGTCCTCCTCTGTCACAGCCTATCACTGCAGATTTGCGTGTCCATCTCAGCCCGTTGAAAACAAGTAGGTAGAGGGAGTGAAGGCTTCTAAAAAAAGGTTGAAAAAGGGTTAGCAGGCTCAAGCTTTGGGGGCTCAGGACGTCCATCTTTAGCAAGGTCTTATTCAGGCATACACGGTGCTGGGCTGCGCGAGGTAGCATAGAACCCCCGGATTCTTCAATGGGAGCAAAGTTCCTTGAGTGGCGTTACCCTCCTAACCCTGATCGGAACTATTGCTGAATCACTTGGGCCCTTTGAAGGTGCCTTCAAGCAGCTGCCTGACCCTGAGAGAAAAAACAGAAACCAGAATCCACAAAAGCTAGGCCTTCCCTTGATTCGGATTTGGGATGTTCCCCCTTATGCTCACAGTCCTTAATGATTATCATAGGGGGTACTAGCATCCCTGTTACGGACTGTTAGTATAGGGGGGAGTTGATCGCCTTTTACATTGTTGTTGATCGAACTTGATTTGTTCGGTCCCTTTCAATTCGTTGGATCCACACCCCGGTTTGGGGGTTGGGGCTTGGAAGGGGCTGAGGGGTTTTAACTTGCTTAGAGGCAGTTCGAGGGTTTTTGGAGGGCTCTGGGCAGCTTAGCGTTCTTGACGCGGACCCTCGCCCCCGTGGACAGTCCTCTGGTCTGAGCTGCGTCTTCTGGTAGCACCTCCGGCGCACCCACACGCACGCATCACCTAGACTTAGCCTAAGCCCAAGATCCCGCCCCCCAAAACCCCAAACCCGAAATCCCTAAACCTTCAACCCCAGAAAACCCGGCGGAACGCCGGGAACTCTGTGGAGCCTCAAAAGCCCCCAGAAACCATCCCAAAAACATCCCTGCAGCCCGAGCTCCGGGATCCCCGGCTTCCTCCCGTAGCTCGTCCCCTTCTCCACCTGAGCGCCGATGCGGTCGGCTTTGGCCTTTTTTCATCGGGCTTTCCTTGCAAACACCCAATCCCAACCAGAGCCTCAATGGTGGGTGCGTGAGGCTTGGTCGCGGCTTCAAGGCTTTTGGGGAGGCTCGAGCAACTTTCGTGAGAAGGAGCCTGCAACCCTGAACCCTCAGGAGGAGGACCCACCAACATTTCACGTCAACTCCAATCCTAAACGTCCTAAACTCAACACAGAAAAGCGCATCAGCATTTCCGCCAAGATGGCCTGCGACTGCAACGATTTTTGCAACATCGGAACACCATGAGAAAAACGCGCGGTGTAGGGCCGAGGCATACTCCCCAACCTCACAGAGCAGTGGGGCGTCGCGGTCGGGAGCTCCGGGTGCTTTTGATCACAAATCCGAGGAGGGGGGGAGGTTGATCCAAAATCTCTATACTGCTCCCCTTCAGCTTTAAGACATGACACACCAACGGGGGACCGATGAAGGAAGGGATCAGAATCCAGCTCCCCCACCATATTTCCACGAAGAGGCTCCCCCCCTCCCACCGGCTGAGTGACGCTGCAAGGGTGCGGATGCCAATCTCCTCCTCGTTTTCTGTGGCATAGACACTGAGGACCTCAGGGCCCTGGCAGGCGCTTCTTGGTTGCGAGGGTACGGTTTGGGAGTTTGGGAGTTTGGAGTGGCTCTCTCCAAAACAAAACTGAGCCCCGTCATCTGCTCCCTGCAGAATTGAGTCTCGTCGCTTCATGTCGCTTCTTCCACACGTGACGGGAGTGACTCCCCCACACAGCTCAGGCAGATAATTAGGCAGGCCGTCGGCACGAACCGTATGAAAGGGCCTGAACGGAACATGCAATCAGCCAAATGTTCACGAACCCGTTTGGAGACTTCGCTCCCTCCGAACAGCCGACTCGTTCCAAGCACCTCCAAACCCTGAACACCTCAACCCCAAGCCTTCCAAAAACAAACTAACAGCACCTCAAGCCCTCAACCCACAGACCCCAAAACAAAAAAATCAGCAGGCGCGGCAGAGGAAGGCCGCGGTAGTGGCGGCATGGCAGCCCAAGGGGGGCTCACGGTGCTTAGAAGCGTTGGCAAAGAAGATCTTTTGGGCTTCGGGTTTAGGGTGAGGGTTTAGAGTGGAGGGTTTAGGGTGCAGGGTATGGAGTGGAGGTTTGGAGTGGAGGGTTCAGGGGAGGGTTAGGGTGGAGGGTTCAGGGTGGAGGGTTAGGGTGGAGGGTTAGGGTGGATGGGGGGGCGAGGCTGAGGGGCTTCGGGGGTTGAGGCCGTTGAAGGCTTGGGGACGGTTGGCACTGGTATGCGATGTTTGGCTGGTTGAGTAGTAGTTTGGGCCTGGCCTCGTGGCATTAAAGCTTCCGAGCCAAGCGATGCAAATGGGGGCTGACTGGCTGGAGACAGGACAGCGGCAGCGGCCGCGGCGGCAGCGGCGGCGGCGGCAGCAGCAGCAGCAGCAGCAGCAGCAGCAGCAGCAGCAGCAGCAGCCGCAGCAGCAGCAGCAGCAGCAGCAGCAGCCGCAGCAGCAGCAGCAGCAGCAGCAGCAGCAGCAGCAGCAGCAGCAGCAGCAGGAGAATCGGTACCATAAGAGCACACTGCAGAATCACAGGCTGCCGAGCCGGGCATGATTTTCATGAAGGCCCGACGCTGCATCCAAAGTGCATGCCGAGGCTAGAGAGATGGATGAGCTGCCGAGCTAGCACACTGGGCGCCGGCACGGAAGGAAACAAGCAGGAGCCTTTGTACAGCATGCACTGCCGTCCCCTATGGCCTCAGGACAACGGAGCTACTCTGTTGCTCTGCCGGTACGACACCGGGGCTCTGCCCCGGTATCATGGAAGAGGGAAAACATGGACCAATTCACCAACTTCTTCGGCAACTGCGCCTTCTGATGGGATGAAGAAGGTGCTGACAGCCACGTGCTCGGACGAGTTGGAGAAGGTTGTGAGCACAGGATTTGCGGTCGAGTTCGATGCCATGTCAAATGGCACCCGTGTAAAGCCGAGACCGTCACCCAGGAAGATCCGCCAGCTGGCCCAGTCATCCAGCACCTTCTGAGCTTCCATGATGATCCACTGCCGACCAGCCCATTGCAAGGAGCTTCTGGAGCCCAACTTCCCTGTGAAGCCATTCTCTGGAAACCAATCGTTCACCACTTTCAACAGTTTTGCCTGCCACTCCCACTCTTCCCTCGAACCTCGAAGGAAACCACGCAGCACTGCCACTGCCTGCTGGTCAATGGCCGTGCCATCTTTGGATTCGTAGCAATGCATCAGGATGGTCAGCTCATCTGTCGTCTCATCGATGGCATAGAGCGACGGTGTGCCCTCAGCATTGCCGATGCAGATTGTCTGCTCGGACACAAACGTCTTCGGATCGCTCTGCCCGTTCAGGAAAGCCTCCATGGTTGCGTAGTACGACACTGCAACCGAAGGCCCGCCTGCGCCATTCTGCTCATACAGAAGCAGCACGCCGCTGGAAAGGACGTAGAACTGGCCCATCGATGCTTTCTTCTGCAGGCGGGCTGTTACTTCAAGGGAGTCGACGCCAGGCCCCACAGCTGCGTAAAGGTCGAAAAGATCCTCGCCATCCCTCTGTTTATGAAATACAGCAATCTATTGCTTTCGCAAGTCATAGAAGCGAATGCATGCCACATCCATGCCGTCAGTAGATGGAGGAGCAGTGAGATTGTTGACCGCAGACGCTTGGAAGGTCGCTGTCCCCAATGTCAAACTTCCAATGTTATCGAGCAGGCGACTGGCAAGAGCAGGAAGGAGCCAATCGTAAGCCAAACGGCTGTTCTGATAAGAATCCAATGCTTGCAAGTCTGCAATCGTCTTGTTGTAGAGCCTCGCGTGGTTCATGACAATGAGCGTGTTTCGCTGGTCTTCTAGGCTCTGGCTTTCCAGTCCTTTATGACCCTTTGGGTCCCTTGCCAGGATCGACTGCACCAGCAAAGCATAAGCAACCTGGTCGGTACTCAGAGATTGCAAAAACTCTGTCGTGCTGGAACATCTTTGGGCCATTTCACTGATGGCCGTGTTCCGAAGATCCTCCTCGCTGTAGCGAAACAGCTCGGGCATGGACTTTATGCCCAAGAAGAACAGCACGTCACTTGCAACTGAGGCTGTATTCTGCCGAGCAGATGATTGCTCTGCGAGCACAACCGTCTTTTGCAAGTTGCAGGTTGCATCCTGCCCAGCGCTTAGAAGAACGAAGCCAGCAAAAGCAAGACCGACCAGATTTTGCGCCATGCTTGCGACAGTTGATTAGAGAAACGACCAACCTTCGGGAGCTGAACATTTCGAACCACAGATGCTAAGCGACTCCACGTGCGCGACTAACATCGTCTGGTGCAGCGAGTCTTCTCTCAGCCTCTCTTGCTCAACCTCTCGTTTCTTGTCAGGCGTGGTCTACGCGTTCCATCACGCCGCCTCCCTTCAACCCAACGTAAACTTAGCAGGTGAAACTCAGAAACGACACGGAAGCGACCTCACCGCTTGGCAGCGCGCGGCGGGAGGAGACTGCACAGCACGCCACAATCCCATCAGGAAGGTTTAGCGTCTAGTGCGGAACATGGCGGAATGTAAGAGATTCTCGAGTTGAGGGCAGAAAGGGAAAGGAGGGGGCAAGGTCTTCCATCCGTTAAACCACTTTTGCTTAAATCTGCTGATGCCCCTAGCACTAGCAATACAGGGGGAGCCCCCTTGAAAGTGACCCCGGGAGCCCTGAAAGTGGGATGCAGAGCTTGAGGCAGATTTCGGAAAGCTCGAGCGGTTTGGAGTGGACGCGTTTAGTCTAGTCTCGGGCTTTTGGGCTTTCGGGATTTTATGGTCAGAATTTGTGTCGGGAGGCCTCTCCAGCGCCCCTCGCTCCAAACGCGTGCGATCGGGGACCTGCCGGCCGTTGCACATGATGGTCACGAGGCTGGGGCTTTTGAGGGGCTTTTGCGGTCAGCCGCGGATTCGGAAACTGGAAACACGCGGATTCGGAAACTGGAAAACCCTGATTCTGGAAACTACAAAACGCGGATTCGGAAACTGAAAACGCGGATTCGGGAAACCAGGATTCGAGAAACCAGCTGATTCAGGAAACTGGAAAACGCGGATTCGGAAACTGGAAACCGCTGATTCAGGAAACTAAAAAACGCGGATTCGGAAACCAGCTGATTCAGGAAACTGGAAACGCGGATTCGGAAACCAGCTGATTCAGGAAACTGGAAAACGCGGACTCGGAAACCAGCTGATTCAGGAAACTGGAAAACGCGGATTCGGAAACCAGCTGGGGAAAACGCGGATTCGGAAACCAGCTGACTCAGGAAACTGGAAAACGCGGATTCGGAAACCGCGGATTGGAGGAACCGGATTCGTGTGGATTCCAATTACCGGATCGGGCGAGCCCAAAGCAGCCGTGTCCTGGATGATAGCGCATCCTCCCCCCCCCCGACTTTTCAACAGGCTGGAGCCCAATGCTTTGTCCTGGACGCTATCATCCCCCCTCCCACCCCCCCCCCAACCCCCCTCCCCCGTCCCCCCAACCCCCCTCCCCCCCCCCTCCCCCCCCCCCTCCCCCCCCCCCCGTCCCCCCCCCCCCCCCCCCTCCCCCCCCCCCCTCCCCCCCCCTCCCCCCCCCCCTCCCCCCCCCCCCCCCCCCCCCCCCCCCCCCCCCCCCCCGCGACAACCCAGTTTCAACAGGCTGGAGCCCAATGCTGTTGCTTGAATGGCTGCTGGAGCCCAATGCTGTTGCTTGAATGGTTAGTGTCACAAAGCAGCCTTGTCCTGGACGCTATCATCCCCCCCCCCCGACACCCAGTTTCAACAGGCTGGAGCCCAATGCTGTTGCTTGAAGGGCTGCTGGAGCCCAATGCTGTTGCTTGAATGGTTAGTGTCACAAAGCAGCCTTGTCCTGGACGCTATCATCCCCCCCCCCCGAGACCCAGTTTCAACAGGCTCGAGCCCAATGCTGTTGCTTGAATGGCTGCTGGAGCCCAATGCTGTTGCTTGAATGGTTAGTGTCACAAAGCAGCCTTGTCCTGGACGCTATCATCCCCCCCCCCCCGAGACCCAGTTTCAACAGGCTGGAGCCCAATGCTGTTGCTTGAATGGCTGCTGGAGACAATGCGTTGCTTGAAGGGCTGTGTTGCTGGAGCCCACTGCTGTTGCTTGAATGGTTAGTGTCACAAAGCAGCCTTGTCCTGGACGCTATCATCCCCCCCCCCCCCGAGACCCAGTTTCAACAGGCTGGAGCCCAATGCTGTTGCTTGAATGGCTGCTGGAGCCCAATGCGCTTGAATGGTTAGTGTCACAAAGCAGCCTTGTCCTGGACGCTATCATCCCCCCCCCCGCCGAGACCCAGTTTCAACAGGCTGGAGCCCAATGCTGTTGCTTGAATGGCTGCTGCAGCCCAATGCGCTTGAATGGTTAGTGTCACAAAGCAGCCTTGTCCTGGACGCTATCATCCCCCCCGAGACCCAGTTTCAACAGGCTGGAGCCCAATGCTGTTGCTTGAATGGCTGCTGGAGCCCAATGCGCTTGAACGGTTAGTGTCACAAAGCAGCCCTCCACATTTCAACAGGCCCGAATCGCCCGGTTTCCTGAATCGCATGGTTTCCTGAATCGCGCAGTTTCCTGAATCGCGCAGTTTCCTGAATCGAGCAGTTTCCTGAATCGCGTGGTTTCCTGAATCCGCGGGTTTCCTGAATCGCGCAGTTTCCTGAATCGCGCAGTTTCCTGAATCGCGCAGTTCCTGAATCGCGTGCTGTCAGTTTCCTGAATCGCGCGGTTTCCTGAATCGCGTGCTTTCAGTTTCCTGAATCTTGTGGTTTCCTGAACCGCGGTTTCCTGAATCGCGGGAAAACAGTTTCCTGAATCGCGCAGTTTCCTGAATCGCGTGGTTTCCTGAATCCTGGTTTCCTGAATCGCGCAGTTTCCTGAATCCTGGTTTCCTGAATCGCGTCCAGTTTCTGAATCGCGCATGGTTCGGCTTTTGGAGTTTGGGTTTGAGGGTTCGGGTCTTTGCATGGCTCTTGGGCTTGTACGAAAACATTTGCAGTCCTGCATCCATGGGACTGGGTACAGGGAGCCAGGGAAATGCAAGTGTAGACTTCATCTCTTTGTGAAGCACAGACATATACACACGTCAGAGGCCTAAAGCCGACACTGATCCCAACCAAGGGGGGAAGCCTTCGACAAAGGCCGCCGTCCGTTCTCTTTCTGGACGTTCGTCTCGAACTCTTGCTGGGTGAGCCGGCCAGAGCCTCAGGGCTTGGCTGTGCTTGGCTTTCAGGATCTTTTTGGGGTTCCATGTAGGGTTTTCGGCAACATGTGGCTTTAGGGATTTCGGGGTTTAGTGCCTAGGATTCAGCCAATCTTCTCCTTAGACAGGGCGACAGTCCCCAAGTGCAAGTGACCATCCAGAGCCTCACCCTAAACATCCCTAAGCCCTCCAAACCCCTTACGACTAAAACCAATCAACTCTACAGACTCTCAAAATTCTCAAACCCTTCCAAGCCCTTGCAAACTTTGGAGGGTGCATCTGGGGTGGTTCCTGCTGCTCCTCAGGGACCGGGCCCCATGGGGAGATCGGCACGTTCTCCAGGACTTGCTTCTGGCGCTTGGAGGGTGGAGGGCGCTTGGAGGGCTCGGGATGGTTAGCTTAGGTGCCCAAGAGTTTTGGCTTTGGGCGCGAAAGACCAGCACTTTGAAGGCCACAGGGTCACATTGAAGCTTCTTGAAGTTTGTGCGGATCGTAGGAACGCTAGGATCAAGGGATGGACGCTGAAGTAGTCATTTGGGGCTCACTCGAAGGACCAGCCGACACCAATGCCAAGGAAACATGGCGTGTCCTGGGCGATAGCGCCCTGCTCCTCAATGTCTGCTCGCAATCGCAGGCCTCTCCTGGCAGATCGGCCGCAGGATATCGGATTCGGAAATGCGGGTTAGGGGATATGGAGGGCTGGCTGTCAGCGATGCGTATGCTTAGTATCGAGAGCAAACTTGTAAGTCAGCAGATACAATCGAATCCGCGCCAAACAACATGACAGACTGCATGTGGCATCAGTTCTATGTATATAGGGCATGCTGCAGGGCATGCTGCAGGGCATGCTGCAGCCACAAAGCCGCCTCATCGAGTATTGGATCACCTGCGTGCAGTACTTCATGTAGTGCCATTTCGCAAAGTAGACCTGCCATTGGCCACAGCGATCGTGTTGCGGAATCTGTCTCGGGATGGCTCCCCGAAGCCAAAGCTCGGCGCCTGGTTCTGGCGGTTGATCACTCGCGTGTCCGTGGGAAACTCACGGCCTCAGAAGCCAGCCCGAAAAACCCTTAGTCCAAGTGGTCAGAAGGGGCACATTGTGACGACCATGAAACATCCAGCTTCCCAAATCCCCAAAACTCTCAAAGGCCAAAAGCTCAAAGCATGGCCCATTCGGAGTCAGACGCACTGTCCGGGAAGCCTTCTGAATATCACCATTCCTTGGCCACAAACATTGCAACCCATATCGAATGCACACTGTGGCTGCATGCTGCCAGAACAGCTACTTCAACCCCAAGCACTACGCATTGCCTAGGCTCTGTCTCGCCATGCGCTTCAATGCATTGAACTGCCTGTCCCAGCAAGTTGCGCAAAGATGTGTGACCCTCTAGAACCCTCAATGCTGCACACTGCAAACAGCAGCCCTTCCAGATATAAACATGCCAAAAACATCGATGGCTTCACAACCGTTTGCGTCTTTTGGCCACCATTGAGTAGCACCTGATGACATCGTTTGGACGATCGGAGTCCACAATGGCTGATGGTGCAATCCTTGGTTCCGGCAGATCGGGAAATTTGGACTAAAAAAAATTGGGTGTCGGGCCTAGAAAAAATGCGTAGTTGCGCATTTGGCACAGCACATCACCTGCTAATGCTACGGTGACATACGGTGACTCAGGCCCGGTCAAATCACGTGGCATCGCGTGCGTCCATTCTCAGTCAATTGCAATCGTGGGCAAGCTTTGCAGGTGCACGAGAATCCGAAAGCAAAACGTGCCGGAGGTACTTTGACGAACGGACGACAGTCGCATGGCCAGCGATCCGCATCGCTTGGGGATCATGACCGGACCCGTAACTATTGCAACTATTGCGCCATAAAATCAGACTTGATTGTGCATGAAGAATGTCGTAAAAAGACAGTCACCTTGGTACATGTAGTGCAAACCCACATGGTTGGCGTTCATTCAAATATTTGGTAGAATGTTGCTGGCGGTTGAGCCACAAAAACAAAAATGGTCTTCAAAACAAAGGGGCAACTGGAAAAACAACTCAAATGGCGGGCCAAGACTAACAGCAAGACTTTGAGCTCAGCTTCAGGCAAAGACCAATCTGGTGCTCTCTTGTTTTCTTGAGTGTGGCCACGACTGTGACAACAACCGCCAGCAGCAGAGCAGTGTCGTGGAGTAGCCCGGCCCTTCGTCGAAAGATGGCTGGATTGTAGGAATATAGCAGGCGGTGTTCCCAAGCATGGCGCAGACGGTTCTCTTTACTCTTGGTGTAGCCAGCTTACATCATTTCGTCGTCCTGGACCGTCGACCAAACCAGCGTCAGTTTGTGTATAACTTTTTCGACAGCATCTTTGGCAGGGTTCAATATGACGAACTGGTCATCAAGAACATGCTCTGGCAGCTCGTCGGATGCCCGAAACATTTCAGCGCCACCACCTGTGTTGTGAAGCCTTCCACTTTCACGCCTGCCATAGCCTCCATCAAAATCTTCCCATCAACGCCCCGCTCAATGAGGGCTTTATTGCCACTTGCGGAAATAGTGGCCCGTGTGGCCACAGGAGAAAGCAGCCTGTGTCTTAATCTGTCAAGTGCCTGCAGTAATGGCATTGCAGAGACATCTTTGCCAAATACGGGCATGTACGTCCTGACACAGGCCCTCAACACTCAAAGGAGTACACACAGGCATTGCGGTGATCCGGATTCAATCTGAAGTCATCTTTTGCCTATCATTGACCGTCCCGACATCGTAAAAGAAGTCCACCCCTGAACTGCTGTTGAGATTGAGAGCTCCACGCACTCCGTGTGCACAAGTAGATGCCCACGCAATCCGTTTGAGTGCGGCTGCAAGCACGCACAACCGCCAGCTGGACCATCCGTCGAAGAGCCCAATACCTTGCAAATAAGTAACATGCCTTGAACAGATATTCAGGAGTCCTATATAATTTGAGGTATATGCCTTAATTAAATGGTGAGGGGCTCTCTGGGTTGATCCTGAACGAAGGTGTCACGCTGGCATTGCCGTTACAAGCCACAGCCATTCTAGCCTATCTGGCGAGTTCTCTCGCCGATCCCAAGCAAGCTGCTGAAAGACGCCGGGTCGCAGCCCCCAGTCCACGAACCGTTCAGGCAAAAGCGGGGCGCTTGGATACGATGTTGAGGATGACCCAGCACAACTCCATGACTGGGTAGTCGGTGACCACGCCCAAGCCCTCCACACCTAGGGGGTTCGGCGGCTCAGGGTTTACGTTCTAGGGGTTGGGTTTATATTGATTTTGTTTTTTTTTGGGGGGGAAAGGGGGCGGGGTTTAGGGCTTAGGGGTTCGGGATTAGGGCTTAGGACAAAGGGTTTCGGGTTTAGGGCAAGCGAGCACGCTTACTGAGGGCTGCTGGGGGTTTAGGGTTTCAACTCTAAGCTTGCAAGTTCCCCAGGGCAGGATTCAAAAGGTAGAGGCCCCAAACAGTACCCCTCTACCACTATTGGGTGTAAGGTTTAGGCTTGAGGGTTTAGGGTTTAGGGTTCAGGGTTGAGGGTTGAGGGTTTAGGCTTTAAGGTTTCGGGTTCAGCAGCTCTGGGTCAAGCAATCCCGAGTAGAGCACCTGTTTCGACCCTGGAACAAAGCCTACCCACCCAGAGAATCCCAAAACATTAAGAAACATAAGTCTGCATCTTTATCAGCAGACCCCGTCCCCACACTTCACTCTGTTATGGAGCGGTCCACCCCACCCTCGAACCACTCAATCGGCCTGCAGGAGGCGCGGTCACCGGGGCACCACTTCCAAAGCAACCACTTCAAAACAAGAAGGGGGGGGGCAGAGTGAACCAATAATCAAAATCAGTCTGGAGTTTTCGGGCACGAACAGCCAAAAAAAAACCTAATTTTATTCAACCTCATGTTTTTTGTTTTCGGTCGCAGGAGCAACAAACGGTGGCATCCTCGTACAACCTCATTCATGTTTTTTGTTTTCGCGCACAAACAGCCAAAAAGCAAACCTCATGCTTCTTGCTTTCCCCAACACCAGCCTGGTACCGGGTGCGACCAGCCAAAAAAGAAACCTCATTTTGTTCGATGCCAGAATGGTGGTCTGGGCCAGTAGAGGCCCTTTCGGCCTGTAAAGCCTTTTGGGTTTCGGCGCACGCCTAGCCTGTTCGGGCGCGAAGCACTGAGCGGTGTGGTGTGGGTTGGGAAAGGAATGGGCGGTGGGGGCGATTAGGGGGCGGGGTGGGGGGGTGGGGTGGGGGGGCGCGGCGGGGTGGGGTGGCGAGGTGGGGGGGGGGCGGCGGGGGGGGGTGGGGCGGTGGGGGGGGTTTGGGGTTGGGTTGGGGGGAGGGTGGGTTGGGTGGGGGGCAGGGTGGGTTGGGCAGGCCAAAAACCTGTGGCCATTGGGAAAAAACCGTGGCCCTTGGAAGAAACACCGTGGCCATTGGCAAACCGGCTTCTTGCCAATGACCACGGTTTCTCTGCCAATGCCACGCCTTTTTGGCAATGGTGGGCCCGTGGCCATTGGCAAACAAACCGTGGCCGTTGGCCACAACACCGCCAAAGGCCATTGGCAAAGTTGCCAACGGCCACTGCCCCCATTAAGGTTGGGGGCAGATTTGGGGTTTGGAATGCGGGGGGGGGGGGGGGAGCAAAAACCCGTGGCCGCTGGCAAAAAAACCGTGGCCATTGGCAAAAAAAAACGGTGCCAATGGCCACGGTTTTTTGCCAATAGCCACGGCGTTTTGGCCGATTGGTGGACCCGTGGCAAAAACCGTGGCCATTGGCAAAAAAGCCGAGGGCATTGGCAAATTTGCCAGCGGCCACTGGCAAAGTTGCCAATGGCCAATGCTCTTTGCCAACCCATTAGGCATTAGCGGCAGACTTGGTTCGATTTAAGAACGAAACAACCCATTTTGACTACCAACCTTAACGGGGGCCATGGCCATTAGCTAAATAGCCGTGGCCATTGGCAACTGCCCATGGCAAATTTGACGACTTTTCTGAAAAGGGCCACGGGTAATGCCAATGGCCACAGTCTTTTGGCCAATGGCCACGGTTTTTTTGCCAATCACGGCCCCGATTGAGGTTTAAGCTTACATGCGAATATGAAAGTTTCTAGGGTCTCAAGCTCAAATCCCCCCAAACACCCTAAACCCTCCCAAAAAAAAACAAGCAGAGGTTGGTCAAGGTCGGTCAATGCTCCTTGGACCCTAAACCCGAAACATCCAGAAACCACAAACCCTAAACACCCCCAAATCGGGACTTATTAAACAGCTCCCGAGTTGCTTACGAGCCAAGTTGCTAAACCGCTTAAACGAGCCTTGACACCTCAAACTCCAGGATTTGGGGGTTTAGGGTGGAGGGCCGCATTCTCTGGGGTTCCGTTCTTTCCGTTCTTCAACCTTCACCACGGGCCACTAAGCACTCTGCAAACCCAAAGAAGCAGAAGCTGGAGAAGCTGGGTCGTGAGCTCAAGCTGAACCATATCGGAAATGGGAGCCACGTGATAGTCCTCGGCCGGACTAATGACATCAAAAAGCCAAGTAGGATCAAAAGGTTCGCCGGCTCACAAAGAGGAACGTCTAGCTACTCCCATCACTAGCAAGCAAGCTAGTGATGGCAGTACCCTGAAACTTCTGCGAGCATCATTGGTGATCCTGCTACACTCACCTTGCCGCAGAATGTCCTGCCCACAGGTCTCGACATGTTCACAATCTCGTGACCATTTCTAAGACGAGCCTAAGCCCTAAACCAGATAGCAGACATGGGGGGTTGAGCTTAGATGTGAGCCATTTTGGGATCGTGTAAAAAAACTTGGGAAACTCCCCATCATCCGGGTTACGGACAAATTTGATCAGCCCCACCTCACCACCTCACCACCAAGACGGACCGACACGCATGGGGTTCCAAGTGCTTCAGAAACCCCAAACCCTAAACCCTAAACCTCTCCCACCCTTGCCCCCTACCATCCTCATTCAAGCTCCACCCTCCTTGGCTCTAAGCCCAAAACCCTCTGCCACAAGCAGCCCCAAATAATGCCGACCCTGACCTGCCGTACGCAACCCTAAACCCGAAACCCTGCCAGGTTAGGGCTTTCTGCCCAAAGCCAAAGGGCAGAAGA